GCAGCACACCTTACATTCAACAGACCCACGTTCACCCCATCCTCGTACGTGTCAATCTGGTGTTATACTGTCTGCTGCGTCATAACGAACTATCCTACTCTTCCTCCTCAGAAACCAAGAGGAAATCGAGTTAGAACCGATCCGCTGCCCAATTTATCTCAAATCCTCGGCGATGCAGATCTAATTTCAGCCTCTTAGTACCACAAACAGGAAGAAGAAGCCAGTCGATAAACAGCCCATGGTCACTGTTGGAGGGAGTGAAGTGGTGGTGATGATGGGGCAGAGTGCGGAGGGGTGGGGCATGGTGGGCCAGAGGAAAGAAAATATGGTGACACAGTAGAAAATCAACAGCAGAAGAAACAAACACAATATAAAATGTTAATTACTGAGCTCTCTTAGCACCTGTATATAGATTGTGTTACATTTGAACAGAGCTGTTTCTGTTCTTTCAGAATGTCATTGATCCAACTCTCGGCATGGAAGCGAATAAGCATATTTCCAAAAATATCAAACAATCCCTGAAAGTAAAAAAAAAACTTTTCTTAGTTCTCTTGCAGGTGAGGGCAATACTGTACAACAGAGGACTAAATGTGTGGATATGAGGATATAAAAGCTGAAAGTGCACTGTGACGTGTGAACTAGAAAAAAGGGAACACGTAAGAGCAGACTGGCAGCTTCTCGAAGGACAAGATGTACATTTTATATATCACTTACAACTGTTTGTTGACAAAATGTTTGTAGTGGAGAGACAAAAAAGCAAAACGCCCAGATGTTTTTTAAGATGTTACAAATCTTTAGCGAGTTACTAAAGACCGGACTGTCGGTCTGAGGATTAGAGGAAGCAGTCATGGGTTGACAACAGGACCAGATGGCAAGAGGAAGCCCTCTGGTAGTCTCTGATCTAATATTTCAAATGGAAAGCTGATGGAAATAGCATGCCACAGACAACATAATTGATAATGATGGCATTTTATCATAATGGATTTTTATAGTTAATTAATTAGTAAGCATGACCACATACAATATAATAGTTATATACCTTTAGCAGGAAAGAGGGGCTAATACAATCTGATTTGATTTTTAGTATCATTTCATGTTTTAATCGGACATAATAGTGTTAAAATAAAGAAATACATTAAGAATATAAATAAACGACAAAACCGCCATGGATTTTACTCTCGTGAGATGTAAGTGAAGATGTCACAGTAAATTCATAAAGAACCCAGCATGGATGAAAGTCATGGTACATGTGTATAATTCACTTTACAAAGTGCTGATTTTTCGCACATGGTTTGCTGAGTCAATTTCAAGACTTCTAGGATTGCAGCAACAGTCCCCTGACTGTCCAGCTTTCTCAGGAGTATAGAATTCACCAGGGAAATCTAATTACTCTCGACAGAAACAGCAGATGGCCGGATATGTCTTTATCAAGAAAGGTTTGATCAAAACAAAAGGTCTTGTGAACAACAAGAAAAACAGGACAGAACAGACCAATGTGCTAAAGTATACATGCTTCTCACAGGAATTGTATGCATTAGTCAATATTATCTATTATCTTTCATTCATAATATACTACATTAAATTATTTCAGTTGTAGTATTTTCCCATTTTACCAACATAAACATATTACTTTTGTTTCCATCCCCTGTATAAAGTAAATTTAAAGATTTAAATTAATTACCCAAATACATGAGTATGTCTATTTACCAGTTCATCACCAGGCTGTGTCCTGCTCTTATCAATAGGCAGAAACACGCCTACAGAAAACAAGAAAGAAATGAAACAAAGTAATGGCAATTGAGCTTGTGCATAGACTTGCCAGTTTCAAACAAATACATAACAACACAGCAACACCTACCAGGGAAATAAATTGTCAACAAATGAGTCAGCTAACAAAAAATTTGTCTGCCTTTACATTGAATACTTTGTGTTTAATTGAATTATTTCCAATGTGTCCTTTAAGAAAAGTGTTGTTATTTTCAAATCAACATCATCTTGATTTACAGTATACAAAGAGGACATTTTGGCCTCTGAATGTGTCAAAATACATTGACTAAGTGATTTGCCCGTGGAACCCAATAAGACATTATTCAGGGTTTTTTTAGCTTTTATCTAGAAAAAGGATACCAATAACATTGAGCTTTGTTCCATGTTCATTCACACACAGACACAGCCCACATTCATCCTCTTAACCTGACCCTGAACATGTCTTTCAAACTGGCAGCACGCAACACAATGAAGTGTAGCTGCGATGTTGGGGGAATTCTTTGTGGGAAAAACAATTAGTTAAATATCAGTGGTTTACATGCCTTTTATTGTAACCAGTAGAACTTCCATTCATTAATACTTGTTTCATATAAACCCTCTCGTCATAAAGAATCCCAGAGGCTGGAATCTTCAGTTCAGATGTAATTATGCTGTATGCTGCAGTGCACAGTGGTCAGTGGTGCTGACATGAGGGGCAGTATGAGGGGAATAGGAGAGGTCAGATGTCAGATGGGACCTTTCATGACTCCTGCAACACACCACACAGGGGACTTTATGAGCGAATCCAATTTAGCCCACTAAGCCCTCAGCATCTCGTAAAAGTCAACAAGCTGTCACTCATATTCCCTCTCTTCCCCATCCACTACCTTCTCCTTCTCTCTCTACACCTTCCTCTTTTTTTTGTCTCACTCTTTACCTCTTTCCCGTGGCTACAAACTCCCTTATCACTGCACAGGCCTGCTTCTAAAAGCAGCTCAGGTCTGAGGTGGAGGGATTAGTATTCAAGATGTTTTGAGGGCTCTGGGTTGGAAACCGATGATGCTGATGAAGAGATTTCAACCCCCCCAAAAACTCTGAAAAGAGCCTTAACTGGTCAACATTTAATAACCTTTCAGTGATGGCTGTTGAGATCTATCAGCAAATATTTAAACTCAGAAATAAATATGTATGTATATGTATGTATATAAATATAGTAAGCAAAGAAATGAACGTATGGCATAGTTTACTAGCTTGCTCTTTTTTCCACCAGCCATCTGATGTGACAGCAGTTCACCCAGCCACTCTCTACTTCAAGGAGAGTGCGATATAGTGATCGCATGACAGCAGTTTACAAATGAAAGATAAAGTACTACTTGCCACATGTGGATATTGTTAGGTCTGACATATGTGGGTGGGTTCAAAAACGTGGGACAAGATCTGTGAAGCTTCAGGAACTGCTTTTAGTTAATTCGATTAGATACAAGATAATGAGTTAGAAAAGGAAAGGACGGAATAAATGGGACTGAAAAGAAGATATGAGAGTGACCAGGGCGGGATTAAAGGGCCACATGCAATTCAGAAGGAGTCATTATGCCTTTGATCATGAGGGTAAATATTTCCTAAATATAAGGGTTAGCCACTTTTTACCTTTCTCTGCAGCATTTTTGGCCATGCTAGCAATGTGGCTTTTCATGAATGAAATTTTAGGCCGTGTTTATTACAGACCTGTGACACAGATACCAGATCTATTTCATTTTTTCCCCAGAGCATTTGATTTATCGATTGCTGTCAGGGGCAGAGAGAGCAAAAAGGTAAAGGAAAGAGAATGCTCAATTTGCCTTTTTTCTGAGGGTCTAAGGGCAGAGGGTGTTGTATGCTATACAGACTTTAAAGACCCTTGAGCAAAATGTTTGATTTGTAATATACTTGATTTGAATAAATCCAAACATATATCTGAAATAGCATCAACTGTGAGAATACTGCAGTATTGCAAAGCTGAAGAAAGATGTAGGCCTGCTGTACATGTAAATATATGAGCATCAATGTTTTGCACATTAATAACTGCAAATCTATCTAATCTTCACAGTTGACTGTTTACAGTGTTGACAAGTGTTTTTTCTAGTCAACTTGTCCACAAGCCAAATATTCTGAGATTTGGGATGCATTGTAAATATGAACATCATAGAATGAGGACCATCCTCTTATTTCCCCTGTCAAAGCTGAAGTGTGAACAGATGTATGTGACTACAAAATCACAGTAATTACTTTTCTTGCCATTACTGAGAGTCTCACCCTGGTCCAGCCCAGGGAGTTCCCTATAGACCTTTGCTTTGATGCTATTGTCTATATGTCATTAAATTATTGTCCAAACTGCGTGTGCAACTTTTAACTAAGCCTACCTGTAACTAAGCCTACATGTAAAGAAATTCCCTTTCACACCTTGTTATCCATTGTTGAGCTCAGTTCCTGCAAAGACATTAGATTTGTTGTGAGGTTTTCTCTCAACAAAGGATGTTTGCTAAATAATGACTTGCAGATATCAGTTCCAATGTGAACTAGGTGTTAGTTGTAAGTGTGTCTCCCATTCCGTTCTCTCATTCATGTTCACACATTGACTTTGAAAGCCTGCAAATGCCACATAAGCCACAGGATTAACCTCCCAATGGTACACTGTCAGAGGAGCTAAGCTATTACATGAGAAACACAGAGTGATCTAACTATGACCTCTAGCACCATCAGGAACACATAGGTTTTGGGTACAGATGTAGCTATCCACGAAAACTGCTTTATAAGATTTTACACGTACTGTCAGTAGTGGACTGCAGAGCCTGTGTATTGGTCATGTGGTATTGGCCCCTCTTTTAAGTCTTTGTACTGTACCATAACCAATGACAAATTACATGTTGCGGGTGTTTGGCAAGTGTTGTTATGTCTACTCTGGGTCTCATCCCACACTGTTGAGGACACACTGAGTGACAATGATAAATTTTACCCCGAACAAGAAGACACAGGAGATATCGTCTCTGTCAGTCTCCACACTCAGCCCAACAAAGGAGGTTCAGCACAAAAGAGGGAAACCTGACCTCTTGTATCACTGGCAGCTTCTTTCATGTCAAATGAGAACCATCCTTTATTAATGGTTTGGATTGTGGTTATTGTTACACTTACGTGTCCTGTAAAGAACATGTTGTAGTGTTAGCTCCAGTATTTGTAGATGCTTCTATGCAATTTCAAGAAATAACTCCAAACATTAATACTATTTTTATTTTTATTTTAAATGTAGAAAGTTGCACACATTATTCAGAGTCCTTGGGTTCTACAACCCAGACTACATTTTTAGTTGACAATATAGACAATATGATTCATATTTGACACATAAATCACTTCATTTATCATATTCATCTTCATTATTAATGATGATCACTAATGAAATATTGATGTAACGACAGTAAAAAAAAAAATGCAAAAGCCCTGAGCATGCAACTGATGAATGTTACTAAATACAAAAGGTAAGAAGACATGCCTTCATGAAAACAGAGCCAAATGTGTGTTTGATCATATGCTGACCTCTAGTGTTGTAAAGAAAAACTGCCACATTCTGTAACATAACTTTTTCAAGCCTGCACAAAAATTTCATCTCATTCCACATTTTTAGTGGAATACGACAGAGAAAATAACAGATCAATCATATATCTATGTACTGGTGACTGGTTAATATGTTATGGTGTAATGTATAATTTCATCTGTTTACTGTGTGTGTGCCTATTGTTGAACTCTTTAAGATAGAGTTTTGGCAGACAGCAAACTGACTAGCAGGGTCACCATAGAGGTCAACTGGCCTGAAGCGCTGCTTGTCTTCATCCTGGTTTCATCTGATTTCAGGATTAGCGGTCCGAGTGAGATGGCTGCAGTGTCATGATGGGAAACATCCCTCGCCACTCTTGTGTGGTAACCCGGGTAGCAATGCTGCAAGAAAACAACATTACACATTTTCATATAAAGCTTTTACCCAGAGAAGCTGCAGAAATCATACAGGATGATTCTTCCAGTCTTACTATTAATATACAAGTAAAGCTGTACGTACAGCCGAGCAGTTGTTGTGTCTCAGAAGACACAGGTGGACCTGGCAGTGCAGATAGATGGATGTATAGTTGGTAAAGGTGAACATCCTGAAGGAGAATCGCGCAACAGTGGAGATGCCGTTCTGAACCAGCTCTACTGTACCATCTTCTGGATTAGGACACCTGAAAGACAAAAAGCTGTAGAAGTTACAATCAGGCATACTTTAAACTAAAGTAAGTTTTAATAAAGAATATGGTTTGAAAGAAGCCCAGAATCAGAGGGGACTTGAAGTATGCGCTAACAGAAGGTCACAGTGAAACAACTCCGTTACTCTGTGGTGATGAGATCCCAGCGGACAGGGTAGCTGGCATTATTGAAAGGTGTTGCCCAGCATGAATCCAGAACGGTGGAGATCTGCCGTTCATCTATTCCTTCTGTCAGCACCTCGATGTACAGCCTCTGGTCTATTTCCATTTCTAGGTTCCCATTTCTGGTCAGAGGGAAGTGGAAGTCAGCGTCCTCGTAGGGGAGCATCCTCAAATGATAACGACCCTGGCCTGATGGAAGCCTCTTGTTCACAATGCTACAGAAAAACATTACGCAATGTGATTAAACGTGCAAGGCAGCAACTCTGTTGTAGGTTAAAGAATAATATCTATAATGAGTAAAATATTCACAAACATAAGTGCCGAAAATACGGGGAATAGATAATGCATTATAAATGCCTCACTGAAAAGGACTTTAACTCCTAAGCAATGTATTACAAATAATGCTATAAAGATGGGTCATAAAGTTTTAGGCTAAATGCCAAATAGTAGCATTCTGTCAGCTATAAATAAGGTCTGGCAATCAGCACTTTTCTACATGAGGTTCAAAGTATTTCTGACCAAATTACCAGTGTATATGTCCAAAAATGATGATGATACAGTATTGAGCTCATATGTAGCTCAGGACCAGCTGAATAATACTACAAATATATAATAACAACACAACTAACCAGCAGACATTCTACATAATCTTGCTTTAGCCACCAGGACTTCAAGTAACCAAAAGATCCTTTATAAGAACCATGCAAGCGAGATAGCATTGTGGTTATCACCTCTCTACAGGGTTGATGCCCACATCCATAGACAGGGCCTGGGCCAGAGGGTATTCACAGCAGAAGTGCAGGTGGATGCTCTTCTCACGACTGATGAGACCCTCATGAGGGTCCACTTCGCCCTGGATGGTGTTCTCATAGATGAAATGGGTCCCGTTGCTCTTTGAGAGTAAAACGAGAAAAAATACATGAAGTATTTTGATGTTATATGGTTTACATCTAAAATCCTTTTTAGAATGTGTCTATAAATTGTACGGACTGTACCCTGAGAACTGTCCCACACAGCTGGTCGTCATTGTTAAAGTGGAACACCAGTCGTCCGTCCTGGAGAGTCCCATTGCAGGAGTCATCTCGGAGGTGGAGGTCACTCCAGTGGAAACCAGCTTCAAACAGCTGGCAGCGCGACAGGGACATGGTGCCTGAACTACTGACACAAGTGATGGACGAGTCTATAAAAGAGAAATGAATAAGAGACAACATAATAATTTTTCAAAAGGCAACATTTGTAGTTGACAAGTTATTGGTAGTCACAGTTATCACAGTTATACCTGTGATAAGGCAGATCATTTCAACAGGCTGACAGCCTTCATTGCTGATTGCTTATTTCATTAAAACAAAATCATATTTCAACAATCAAAACAAGCTGTTTGATCAGTTTATTTTGCTGCTATGTACAAATACTGCCTAACAAAACAACATGTGTAATGAACAGTCTTCATGTGAAGCATTATTATCACTGAGATCTGACAAACAAAGCAGTGTTTTCAGAGGAGGGCCCTCACCGTAGCTCTCATTGTTGGGCCGATGGTGGTGTTCATCACAGAAGCAGCCGTACACACCGTCCTTCTCACCACACCACTCATACTCTGTGCAGTCCAGCTGTTCACAGGGGTCTGACTCAGCTGGAGAAATAACAGGGAAAGAATGAGACAAGGGGTGAAAAAACTGAAACCAATTATGTCGGTGATTCCTCTAAAGGAATATTCCCTTATCAACTATATTATTAGCCCAGTGCAAACATACCACACTGCAAAGCTGAGCGCCACTCAGGGATGTTCAGTCCCAAAACAGAGCAGGTTTTCTCATAGGCTGAGACAGCAGAACACAGCATGCCATTGGCTGGAGTGTAGTGGCAGAGATCGTAGACACAGGAACTGAAATATGGCTGGGGGTCAGAGTGCAGGTGACAGCCCCTGAACGGGCCGCTGGTGTTGGTGATGACACTACAGAGCTCAGAGTATTCTTCAATAAAGGAACAGTTGTCTAATCCATTACCACTCTCATCATCGGTAGATCCACATCTAGAACAGACAAATCATACTCCCATTAATGTCTGCTGAAGTATACATAAAATCATCCACAATGCTTTTCGTAATAGCTCACCCTGGTTGGCTTGTGGGTGCCTTCCAGCTGTGTCCAAAGTCATTATCATTGTGTGCCAATGTGCCATTGGGCAAGACTTTGTCATCTGCAGGATCACGGTTGAAGTTTCCACACATCCCAGTGATTCTGTTTTGACGGTTCTGGCCTACACTGATCAGTAAAGTCCTTTGGCCATCAAACTGGACCACCAAGTCAATGGCATTGACTATAATATAGCTTCCCTGTCGTACCACCTGAGCTAAAGATCCTGCTGCGGTGGGAAGAGACACCTCAACTCCATTTACCTGGAGGGATGAGAGATTAGAGAGAGAAGGACAATAGGTGAGGAGGTATTTGTTAGCTATGCTGACACCAGACAGAAAGTTATTTTAAATAAAGTCATAATGGATTTACCATTACTCTTTTGTTGGGTCCAATCCTGATGTGTGCACTCTCTGGTTGATTTGAGAGGTATATATCCACTGCTGACACAAGTGACACACGGTTGTTGCCACGGTGATTATTGGTGGCTACTACATGAAACTGGGTCTCATTGGTGCCGTGGCTCACACTCTCAGTAATAATGTAAGAGCATGTGCCCTGGAAATCAGCCAATGCCCCATCAAAGGTGATGTAGTGTGGGTCTCCCCACACAGTGCAAGTAGAAATTGCATCAAAACAGCCCAGCTGGCCATTTCTGATGGTGCACTCTTGTGCAGGAGTGCAAGATGCAGCAGAACAGCGCAGGTCATTTGGGGCATGACACTCACATCTCTGGGAGCAACCTTGTGTCCAAAAGGACTCGCCAGCCTGTAGCATGCAAGAAAAATAGAACCACACCATAGAGACCAAAACAATTAATAGACCTTTTTTACAGCATTCATTTCATTTGTAGTCTGTGGGACTACAAATTAATAAAACGTCAGAACTCACCTTTTGCTTGTCATTGCCTGATTTACACACTAATACAATTGTTGGAGGTAAAATATGCACATGTACAGAGAGGAAAGAGATGATGGCTTGGCCCCAAATGTAAGATATATAGTAGAAAAGTCTCACTGCGCATGTCAAACAGCCGTCATATTGATACATTTTTTGGAGCTATCCTAAGTAGCACACCAGTAAAGTGTATGAGTTACCAGTTACCAGCACATTAAGCAGAACATATTAATTACGCCATTTGGCAGTTTGACTTTTGAGGAGAAACTAAGTTAAAGTTTAATTAAAGATAGGTTTGGGACCCTACCAACATATAGTATCAGTAGCCTACCATCACTGACACAGCAAAGAACAGAAGCAGAAAAAGATGGCTAACTAGCACTTTTTAAAGGTGCTCATTTTTGCTAACGAATCTAAAACTAACCTATATCAATATAATTTTACTGGACTTCGGATGGCTTCTCAAGAAGAAGGTGCTAGTTTAACGCGTATCAGATGCACCGGACATAATCTGAAAATCATTAGACCTGCAATCACAGATATGGCAATCAACCAAGCATATCTGTTGATGCTTGGTTGATTGCAATATCTGTGATTGCGGATGCTGCTACGCAACAGTGTGAAAGCAGAGAAAACAAAGAGCTGTAACGTTATGTTAAAACGCAATGTCTTGGAGGTCAATATGACAACAACAACGACTGACAGTGCTCATAATGATCAACTTCTATGATTTGGATACTGCATTTGGCCATATTGAGATTATGTTAATATTACAATCAATTGCTCAACCCTGCAAAATATAATAAAAAAGCCCTCACAAACATGCACTCAACAGTGATGGAACGAGGCTCTGGAACAACACCTCTAATGCTATTTTTAAATGGGAAATGTTGCCTACCTTGTTTTACTACCTATTGTGAGGAGCAGATGTTTTTTGAACCTCTAAGTGGGCGTTCAGACTGCAAAAATGATTTTCTTTTTTTTTTTTAAATATACATATAGGGCCAAGGCCTAATTTTGGTACTGGTCTGTTACTCCAGGTACTGCTGAGATGATGAAATCCGATTCATAAATTCCACTTTGTTTAATATCTCCATGAGCGTGAAGGTTTTTCAGATGCCAAAATACTGTACAGGAATTTACAATATTATGAGGTAGTATTTTACTGCTCCCCACTCTTTAGTATTTACAGGGAAATGTGACTTACATCATAGTAGAATCCATCATACTGGCAGCCACACCTTTCCATGGGAACACAGCTTGTCCCACTCCTCAAGAAGCCTTCATCACAGAAACATCCCTCTGAGCAAATCTGCTCACAAGTGGCATCAATGCTGCTGGCACAGGTGTGGCCACAGTCAGTACCACACAGCTCATAATGGCTGTTGGCTGGACAGTCAAGTCCTTCATAAGTGAGGAAAAGAAATGGTGACTATACCAGATAGTAGTTTACTTATAAGGCTCCACACATTATTTCAGAAAGCACATCTAGATTTTTTCAGTTTCTAATGATCAATTGACTATTTGACTTACGGCAGGTGGTGTTCTGTCTCCAAGGGTAGATGCGAACATTAGCAGACTGACAGGCACTGACATAGGCCTGAATGGCCCTGCACAGAAGATCGTGGTCCCCATTTCCCGACACACAAACATCAAAAACACAGTCTTTGAAATATGGTGCCGGGTCCACCTGCTCATGGCAGAAGCTGAAGGGCCCGTCGGCTGCCTGGATCACCTCACATTGGGCTCTAGCAGGCAGCTCATTGGTGCATTGTGGGCAGGAGGAACCACACCCATCACTGCAGGTGTAGTTGCCTGCCACTTTCCAAGCTTTCCCAAACTCATCTGGAGTGGTGACCATCATGCCAGATGGGGTGTGGAACTCATCATTTGGATTTCCATTGAAGTTTCCACAAAGTCCACATGTTTTTCCACTATATTGAAGACAATGGTTAAATACATTCAGTGTCATGAATTAAAAGATGGTCAGATCAAGATCAAATGACTGAAATGCATTCACAGATACCTGTAATTTGGAGGTACTGAGATAAACACTGTACTATATCCATCGTAGGTGACAGTCAAGCCAAAATCAGCACTGACAAATACACGAGGTCCACTTGCGTAGATAGTCACGTGACCTCCATTCAAGAGAATAGGTAAATTTTTTGTTTCTCCATTCACCTAAAAGAGAATTTGGAGGAAATATCAGGTGTACTTTCTCTCATATTGTTATTCCTCTGACAAATGAACGAAAAAACGCTTCAGTTCTTGTCTAATTAAGATAACGTACTTGCAGTCATCCCTTAATTTTCTTTCTATGTTGGTCACTTAGTCACAGGAATAGCTATTGCTGTCATTGTTTACAAATTAGGTTGAACCTGAATCTAAAGTATGCATAGCAATCATCTGAGGAATATCAGATATTATTTTAAAGACTTACTTGAACCACTCCTTTTCTCTCCCTTGACATTTGCACTTGGTAGCCCCACACATTCACAAAAACTTCAGCTGTGATTGAAACTGGCAACCCGCTCCATGGCTCATTCTTAGCTTCCACTGAAAATTGGTGGAGTCCATCAGTGGCGTTACAAAGGGTCGCCAAAACATAACGGCAGGTTCCCTGGAAGTCATAGGCCTTGTGATCAAATGTGAGGTAGTGAGGGTCTCCGGAGGCAGAGCAGGTGCCATGAGAGTTTGGATGGCAGCCAAACTCACCCCCCACCACACGGCAGGACTCCTGGGGACCACAAGAGTTGGGGATACAGTGGACTGCCCCAGTAGTGCCATTACAGCTACACAAGCTCTGACATTCCTCACCATCCCAGAACTGTTCGCCACCTTGCCGATAGCGTCCTTGGTGATAGCATCCACAGGATGTTGGAGGCACACACTGGTTGCCATTAAGGACAAAACCATCATCACACTGGCACCCATCCTGGCACACAGTGTCACAGACGAAAGGGAAAGAGAGGCTGGGGCAGGCGGAAGGACAAGAGGTTCCGCAGAGTTCATTATGGCTGTTTCGAGGGCAGCTTTGCTCTACAGAAAAACAAACAAGTTGATCCAAAAAAGGTCATTACGAATTTGTATACCATATCCAAAGTCCAAGACAAGGGAAAGTGCTTACCACAGCCAGTTGCATTCCTCCAGTGTCCGAGAGCAACACCCTTCTGTTGACACATCAGTGCATAATCTCGCAGGACCTCGCAAAGCGCTGATGCTGGATCTTTTGAGCCTCCAATTATCTCCACACATATAGCCACATGCTGCCATGGGTCCAACATGGCCCAACACTGGGTAAATGGCCCAAGAGGTGAGCCAAGAATGCCACAGTACTCACTAGAATTGTAGTTTGCTGTAGAATTATGATTTACACTTTCCACGCAGTGTGCAGCGAGCGAGCCATCACGCCAGCTGTCCCCAAACTCCTGAGAGCTGTTGACCAGGATGCCACTGGGTGTGTGGAAATCGTCATGTGGGTGACCATTGTAATTACCACACAGTCCACCTAGTGAGCCATAGTAGACACCAGGTGCAGTGACACGCACAAAGTGAGGCCAGACCGTCTGTACAGTTACACCAAAGGAGGTGCGAAGGATGATACTGTGAACGCTGCTGTGGTAGATTTGGATTCTGTTGGACGCTGAACTGTAAGGTAGTCTGATGACCTGACTGTCAACCTAAAGAGCCATTCAGGTTCATATTTAGTTAACAAGATTTAAACAAAGGTAGGAACTGTTACATATTCAGAGAATAAGTTTACATCACCTAAGATGTTACTTTATGATAAAAGATGGTACCAACATCTTACTAAAACATGTCAGCAATCATTTTGTCACATTTGTCTTGATCAGTGTTCAGATGCCTCACTTTTAAAATGGTTGATATATCACATTAAAAATCAATCTGTTCTGAATATTCTTTTACTTACCTGTACTCTGCTGGTACGTGCCATCTCAATGGATACTTGTGTGCCCTCTGCCTCAAACTTTAGCAAACGGGTAAAACCCTGTTGGCCACTGGGCTCTTTCTCTGCTGTTACCACAAAGTGGGTGTAATTAGACAATCCCAACACTTTGGCAAGAGTAAGTCGACACGCCCCAGGATACTGGTATGTCAGTCCATCAAACATTTGATAGGACCCCGGGCCCCTTATCCAGCATGTTGCATAGCTGTTTGGTCTGCATCCTCTTTCTCCCTCCTCCACTCTGCATGATTCAAGTGGACCACAAGCATGGGAGCTGCAAGTCATGGAGCCATAACTGCAGCTACAATGTCTCCCACAGTCTGTGTCTAGTATTACAGTTTCTCCAGAGCGGTAGTAGCGACCCTCAAAGCTGCAGCCACACTCAGCATGAGGGACGCAGACCCCAGCACTGAGGATGTAGCCTGAGTTGCAGATGCAGCTCTCCTGGACAGGGAGAGGGCAATTGTTTGTAGAATTAGGATTGACACAGGTAGCTGGACATCCTGTGCCTTGGGACTCAAAGTGGCTGTTGGCTGGGCAGGGGATTTCTAGAGAAAATAAAATAACATTGACCTTGACATAATGGACATTTTATCCAAAGGATATTTTGAAATAAGGTTGAAAGACTGACAGACATACCACAGAAGCCTGGTCTCCTCCAGCTTGGTAGCTTTATACCATTCTGTTGACACTGACTTGCATACACGTTTAGGGCTTGGCACAGAATGGGCTGGTACCCTCCTCCTACACACAGATCGTACACACAGTTGTCCACAAAAGTCTGTGGGGGAAGTCTTTGATGGCAAGCAGCAAAAGGACCTGAACTGCTCTGGAGGATACCACAATGAGCAGTATTGCTGTATAAAGCTGTCTGAGCCGCAGTGCAGGCAGCACAGTCCAGACCTTCACACTGTGCCTCACAACCAGGCTCATCATCCCCTGCTGCTTGCCAGCTGTTGGCAAAAGCCACATCAGAGCTCACAACCTCGCCTTGGCGGGTTCGAAAGTCATCTCTAGGATCATTGTTGAAGTTTCCACACAGGCCACATGTTGCATTCTGGTAAGTGTAGGGCACACTGATCCGGACATAATAATTTGTGTTATAGGATACCTCCAAGCCAAAGTCAGTACTGATGATAGTAGAAAAACCTGACTGATAAACCTGGACGGTGCCGTTGTTGAGATAGATTGGAGTGGCTGCAAAGTTTCCATTAACCTGTAAGCACAAAAGTAAGCAAAGCCATAGGTGTAAAAATATTAAATAAATAAAAAATATTACTGTAAGTAGAGACTGTAGTCCTTATTGCTAACCTTAGCCTCACCACGACGTCCCTTGACAAGCTCAATGGTTTCATTATAGACATACACTTTGACCAGTCGTGTCCAAGAGACTCGATTGCTGCCCCGGTTTTCATTCTTGCCCTCTACTCTGTAGTAGGGCAACCCATGATCACATTGCTCTGAGACAACATAAGTGCAGGCGCCCTGAAAGTGAAACACTTTACCATCAAAGGTATAGTAATGTGGATCACCACTTATGGTGCAGGTGCTTCTCTGCACTGTCTGGCAGGAGAACTGAAAGGCACTTGGTCGGCAGATTTGGGAAAAGGAGCAGGGTTGGCTCTGACACTGAAGGCCTGCTGAGGTGCAGGTGCACTTCTGTGCACAGGTACTGTCGCTCCAGAATGAGTCACCCTGCTGCACAGGTTCACCTTGAAAAGAATCAAAGGAAAAGACATAGACTTGAATGTGCTGACACCATTACATTTAAACAATATACGGCATGATTACAAACAGCTGTGCACTGCGCACACTAATCGATAGTTCAGTATAACTTACAAAAACAACTCAGATAATCGCAGTTATTATAGCAATTGGCATGCTGACTGCAGGAATGAGCTGTTGGCTGTGAATTGAATGTTAATTTCTCTACCAAAGGCATTACAGAGAATTTGGCAGTACATCCAACCAGCCTCACAACCGCAGACCATGTGTAACCACACCAGCCCAGGACCTCCACATTCAGCATCTTCACCTCCAAGATCTTCTGAGACAAGCCACCCGAACAGCTGCTGCAACAATCGGTTTGCATAACCAAAGAATTTCTGCACAAACTGTCAGGAACCGTCTCAGGGAATCTGATCTGCATGCTCGTCGTCCTCATCGGGGTCTCGATCTGATTACAACTCTGTACAGCCATTGAAGAGGAATTGACCAACATGACAAAAACTAAAGTGTGGACAAGTAGCGAAATTCATTCTCTGCATTTAACCAATCCCTCGAGGGGGCAGTGGGCAGTGGGCCACACCCCTCGGGCAGGCCACATGGTGTGCCAGTGGTGGTATATCATAACTTAAAACATGTTTTCAGGAAAGTATTAAGATGGATACCAACGGACATTATAATAAACTATCTGCTATTGAAATCAGTGTGAACAGATGCACTCAGTCTATCACAACTCAACAGTCTGGTGGTCATATTGTCATGGCTGAATACACAGCTATGACAATAATAAACATAGGCCAACTGTGACAATGAGAACACAAAAAAATAGGATGTGAACTGTGAACTTTCTTAACTTAACATGACCATAACTTATTAACTATAAATAGGCTAAAACAAATGCTTTGATATGATTTGATTGAAAAGACTTTTGCAAAGGATTTTTCATGAACATAGAAGTAGTAGCATGTTGGGCCTACTTCCTTTTATAAATGTTTTCTTGTCTGTTTCTTGTTTGCCTTTCACACTGCTACACTAATACTATAAACAGAACACGCTCACTCCTAATGAGTTCCACAGAGCACCTGTTCTTTTCCTTGAAATTGTGAATAAATTTGTATTATGTGTGAACACATTTTGGCAAAAATATTTTTCATTGTTTTTTCTATCCAAACAGTGAAACCACACATAAATAATCTATCTCCAGACATTCAATTTAATTCAACACCATTTTTATGATTGGTCAGGAAATATATTTATGTATTTATTTTCAGTTTTTCTTCAGTGTATTGTTAATTCTATAGTATTGAATCATGCAATTCTATAGATTAGTTAAGCATAAGACATACTCGTTTATATTCTTCATAGGCACTAGCCTATATTTTGATTTTAAATGTATATTAAATAGCCTATATCTCTCTCTTATCTCTTATTAAATGATCTTATTAAAATTAATGCTTATGTGTCTGACCTATATCGCAACCTTAAAAAACAAATCAAACCATAATGTATGTGCTTCATTTAGGCCTTGTAACAATATTTCTTAACAAATATGCAGCATTTGAAATCCAGCGTGATCAATCAGAAAATCAGAAGCCTACGTTTTATTAAGTCTGCCTCGGCAGGTTGTCACACGTATGACAGGCCATCGTGCACCACACAGAACACTGGCCGAAAAATTGTGCAGTTTGGCTTGATACTCATCAAGTAGGCTATTTGATGTCTCCCACTCTCGTCGTCGTCGTTACTTCTGCATCCGCTTTCGTTTCAGAGGGGACGCAGGAGGGATGTCTAGCTGCGCCGCCGCTATTTCAACTCGACTCCCTGCCAAGAGACCCGCCCTTATCTGACTCCGATTGGCACTGAACCTGACGATATTAATGAAAGCAACAACGGCAGCGAATATTACCCAATCAGAGGTAGAAAAGGAGAAGTATTCGCAGAATGCGGGTGGGATGATTTGCATAGGATGCTGCATTAAAGACAACTCGGAAATGGACAAAAAGCGTCCCGTATTGATTCAAAACGGGACGCGCTATTTAGTTTTCAAATACAGGACGATTCCGTATTTTAACGGACAGGTGGCAACCCTAGTGACCAACTACAGATCTATGCCAGTGGCAGAGACTGGAGAACCCAATATGTTTTTTGATGGGTGGGAAAAACCTCACTGGCCATGTACAATGTAAATATCGCAATGCAATTCGTATAGCAGAGCAAAAAAACGTGCGACTTTGGATTTGGATGTTGAACCCAGGCAGCCACCAACTGTAGTGAAATCCCAACTAATAGCCTAAACAAATCTGTAGATTTTTGGATATCAGACCCTCTCAATACTGCAGGACAGAGAAAAGACAGGAAAGCCTCTTCCTTAATTATTGTTTGTATTGTTGTTCTGAGTTTACCAGCCAGGTTTATCTGGCTGATGTTATAGTGCCATATAGGCCTACTGATAACTGCAATGTGCAACACTTTTCAGCTAATTATATGATTTGTGCCGATGGGCTGTTATTCTGTGTTAGTGTAATTACTGCTGCTGCCAGATGAGCTATGTTCATTTGTGAGAAAGCTATTCTCTCAGTCCAAAGCTGTTACCACAGCTTTAGGCCTCTGTACACACCATGGTAAGGCACAATAGTGATGTTGTCCCAGAAGAAGCACATGATAGTGATCACCCTCTCTATCTGATCTTACCATTGAAAGTGCAGCCTCTTGATCCGTGGTCTGTCCTGAAGGCCCAGCGACCGGGTACATTGACGTTGCTGCTCAGGCGGAAATTTGAGTTACTGCCTGTTGCAGTGTTGGAGAATGATCCAGGGATGGTGAAATGGTGCGTGGAACTGATTGTGTCATATCCTGCCTGAAATACAAGAAATGGAAACAAAATAAGTGTAATTTGAATTAGTGAGTGAGTTATCAATTTTGTTATCATATTTAATCATAGCCACTAAATATATATATCCTAACTGTAGATCTGACCTGCACATTCTTAGTTGTTGAGGCTATTATCCCATAGTTCATCAGCACAAATGAGTACTGGCTGCCAGAGATCAACACGGCTTGGACAGTTGTGCGCTGGAAAAAATGAATTCATCATCATATGTACTGCTATTCCTATACTCTACTGTGCATTTCAGAAACAATGTCTCAGTATGAAGCACCATATGAAAAATGCAGCATTTTGTGTTACAACATGCCTGTTTCATGCAATGAAATGCATTATATACAGACAATGTACTCTGGACATTCATAACACAACACAATTGTTTTTTTAACACTTCAAACTAAATGTACTTTAAGGACATTGTTTCACCATTTCACCATTCAGGAGGTATCTTCTTCACTGGATTAAGTTGACTTACTGTTCCTGAATTTGGAAAGTAGGCCACCTCATACCATGTTGCAACAAAGACCCAGTTGGCACTGAAGTTCAAGTTCGGAAAGTAGCCATTAATGTCCTGTGTGGCTTGTTGGAGGACACTGCCACTGGTGTATTGGTTGTAGTTGACCTGACCAATTTGCCTGTTGTCAAGATCTGTCCAGAATGGAGCGATGAAGTCTCTGGGTCCATGTAGTGGGAACCTTTGAGGTGAATGTGCACTCAGTGGATTGTCAAATGTCAAGTGTCCATTGTGGTTAACCTAAAAATAAATGAGTAAACATAATAGTTTTTAATCAGCTACAGATTTAGCATATTGTATGATATATTGTCATATATTATATTACATAAGCAGTTTTAGAAAATGTGATTGATGATTAATATTTTTTCAATGCATTTGTATTGGAAGTGATTTGTAATCAGTTGTGGGAAATTAAATTTAACTGCAAAATATCTTCACGGTCTACATAAAATATGTACATTATTTTTTCAAAGTTTTTAATTTTACATACATAAATCTGATTATACGTCCGTCCGAAATAGACAAACGATCGTTGCAGGTTAATCCGTGGAGAACTTCCATCATCTGATCGAGAGCTTGCGGTTCCAGATATTGGGTAGAGGGGTCCTATAAAGCATGGGTATATCACAAACAAATTTACACAGATATATTGGTCTAGAATATGGCTATAGGCAATAGTCAGTATTTTACAGACTTAGTATCCACAGTGTGTATTGTGTTTCCAGGAAAAGGGAAAGCATTAGTGTAAATAAAGCCTTTTTAAAACAGTTTCAATAAAAAATGAACATGAATAACTTTCAAGAAGGTAGAACTGAATTATCATAGAATTAATCTTTACACAGGACATGTCTGAATGACTGTCTGACTGGCAGTAGGAACTGATGACAATCAAATGGCGTCAATGTGAATAGATAGTGAACTTACTCACAACCTGAGGAGTCACCACATCTGTAAATGAAACAAACAAACAAGATTTCATTTCTGAAACAATCCAAAAATATACGATGATGAGTTAGAATTTAAAATAAACTAAACCAAAATATAAAAAATACAATACAGTCTATTACTTACTTATCATCCCTAAAAGCAACGCAAACATGAGTTGACTTGCCATTCTGTCAGGCTCCCAAATCAAATCTGCTAACAATAATAATTGAATGTACCATAACAAAGTATTATGTTATTGTAGAATTAAATATAGCAAGCACTGAATGTTTCTTATGCTAGCATTAAAAAAGAAACATTTTGACTTTTTTAAAATACTCACCTGTTCATCTGTTTCCCTCTCATCCGTTTGAGACTGCAGGGCTGAAACTAGGCTTTATATAGTAAAAGCTGGCACAGTACCATAAACCTGATTTACAATTTACGGAAGTACACATTTGTTTATCATTCATTAACCAAAAATGTACTTTAATAGTAATGATAACTATTAAACCATGACAAGCATAACATAGGAAGCTGTAATCTAATCTAATGTATATACTCCACCAAATGCTTGGGACATTAAAATGTTGTCAACAAGGTACGGTATTTCTCAATGCCAGTTTACCATATAGTAAAATGACTACACTCAATATTAAGGTTATTAGCCTTGGAGTAACTTTTACTGCCGTTGAAATGGGATACATTGCTGTCTAATGATTTACTGCAGAAACTCGGTAAATCATTCTCAAAATATTAGTGATAGGAAATACTCTCTTTCTGTGGTAAGACTAGATGACAAATTGTTCTATTTAGCTTTTCAGTTTTCAGCTTTTCAGCAAAATAAATCAACCTTTAGAGATGTGAAACTGTCATTGCATATTGATACAGTCTAAAGTACAGAGTGATTTAAACACTTTTAATTTATATGATGGTTTTATGGTATTACAATGCAAAGCAGTTTAGTCTGAAGGTTTGTCTCAATCAAGTTTCTGTCCTTTTCGCCTGTAGATCATGGAATCTGGTCTCAAAACTCACAGATCCATGCTAGCTCACGCTAGCTTTCTGAATGCTTGATACATTTTCGGTACAGACTGGAAAATAGAAGCCTTGAAATTTGACAAAGTCTGGCATATCAGGCAGAAAGGTTTTCAAGGTTTCATTGCTAGAAATAGAGGTCTTTCCTCTCTGTTAAGCATGTCCTGTTCTCCAGCTCATGTACATTTGCCTGTAATTATATTAGAGATTTCAGTGCATTATGGGAAGGTACATTGAAACACACCATGGCAACGAAACTTCTATTAAGTTACAAGGTACTTTTATGTGATTGGTCTGAAGTTGTTGCAGTGAACTCAAGAGACTGGCTCTTATATTAGGGAAATTATGTACATATAAATTGTAAACATTGCGAAGTATTGGTTCTTCTATTGTTTCTTCCGTGCAAAACAAGACTACCATAGCAACAAGAATGGAGATAAACACACAATAACTAACTTTTAAACTAAGGATGTCAATCTCAAGAATTCTGACTAAAGCTTATCAAAATCCGATCCTTTTTTTTCCATACTCTACTGTATTATATCTACTTCTGCCTGCTATTTAGAAGGCAACAGCTGTTATTCAAATGTGATACACATATAATCAACATTCAGATAAATATAAACACTGGATCTCACTCTGTGTCAGCAGATACAAATATTGAAGGACTCGGATCTGGATCTCTAATTTAAACATCTTAATGTTCAGAAGTCTGAGCAAAGACCGTAAGTCAGAAACTTTGTGTGATATGACAAGTTTTTTCTAACAACAAATTCCAAATAAACAAAACAATACACTTCCCTATTCGTTGAAAATAAATATATTAATCCATCACTCAGCACAAAACTTATGATGTTGTAATAGGGATGGTGTCAAGATGATGAAAAATATTAATTCCTAGATACTAGATACTTTTCTTTGAGGCAACTGCATATGTGTGCTCTGTGTTTACGTGCAAAATGACCGTGTTCTTTTTGAGGATGTGTGATTGCCTGACATGGAAACCTAATTGTGGCCTTTAACAACATGTTTGATGGCCTTGTTAAACTGGCAAGCACTGTTGCAAATAATATGACTCATGTTTTTATCATTTTGTTATTTTTATGGTCTTATTGTTTTCACTGTTTTTATGGTCGTCTTTGTTAAACTAGTTTACCTTTTTTACGATACTCTACTTAAATGTTTTGCAAGATGTTTGATGTGGTGGTAAGTAGTTACCGAGCAGTAATGATTACCTTGATATGACCTTAATAATTAGCCACAAACAGTTCTTTGTCATGCAGGAAGAAAAGCAGAAACCCAACTGGAGTAGATAAAAAGTGGATTTTATAGCATTCCTAGTGTCATCATAAGCCAAGCCTTGTCTTGTTCTCAAAGATATAACTTATTTCCTGAAAGAAAAAAGTCCTTAGATTGTAAACATTACACTGTTCCCATAAGCAATCCTCAATATAAGTCCATAAAAATTATATATAATACAATAAGAGAATGTAACAAACTGAATGATGCAAAGATGGTTTGCATTGTGATCAAAGAAAACAGATTATTCAACTAACCTTAACAAATTACATGGGACTGAGATGTGAAGTTAGGTAATTAAACAATGAAGGAAATTAAGAATTTATACTGTAGGTATTTTTTAACTAACGGGTACCTATTCTATTATTACCGGGTATGATCATTACTGAGCAACAAAGCTTGACGTTTGGGGGAAGATATGGTAATAAGTCCTATGCAGCATTTTATTTTTATTTATTATTATTAATTATCATGTACTACTAACTTACACTGGAGAGGTACACATAATAACAAAATGAGGATAGGCGTTTTTACTTTCAAACAAAGGTCCAGTGAAAGAGTTTTTTCTGGAACACACTGTAAGCTTCTAGCCTATATGTGGCTGTAGATGATGGGGTACAATATTGTCTTTACAGGGGAGTTTCTATACAGAAGCTTGAGGTGGTACAGGTTTATCGGTACTGACAAAGAGTGCTGTTCAGTTTTTCATGATGAGGCAATTAGAATATGATGGATTTTATGTCACAGTGGAACTGTCATGAACAGCAAAGGACACAAACATTACACTACAAAACCATTAGCTATTTCTTAGCCTTTCACTGAGTTTTCAATTGCATAAAAAACTTTTTTCAAAACACTACATACGATTCTCTACCTAAGGCACTACATCTGAATGAACAGGAAGTGGCTTTCCTTTTCCAAACACAACCAATCAAAATGCTACACTTATTCACCAGGACACACCGCCACTCCTCACATGTGCAAACACTAATTGCTTTACTGATCACTAACCGATCACTGCTTTAGTATAGGCCTATAAACAGGTCAAAGGTCAGATTACCTGTTTTGAACAATGGATGCAACAATGGACAGAGAGCAAGGGGAGTAGGAGGGAGAGGCAGGGGATGACAACAAGGACAACTTGAATGAGGAAGAGTTGGAAGAAGATGAAGAGGAGAAGAAGAGGACGAGGGAAAAGAAGAGAAGGATGGAGATCAGGGCCACACTTTTTGTTTATGTTCAACCACAGGTTGACCATGAGAGAAGCTGGACTGAGAGTCCAGACCAACTTTAGTCTCTTTACATTGGCATCCATAATTTGAACCTTCAGAAATGAGAACAGGTTGCAACTATCTAATGACTATTTCAGCATTACAGTATTGTACTGTAAAATATGGATTACTGTATAGTATTGCATAAACAAAAAAATAAGAACATTTGTAGCTCTAAGCCATCCATTTACTGCACTGCATGTTGAATGACGTTGGTAGTCATGTTGTACTATAATATTATGTAAATTTTTTATATTGTTGAATTCTCTACAGAGTGGAAATGGTTGCACACCCCTACATGAACACACACACACAAATTTGTTCTTTATTATAAAATAATACTTTTGGTTTACATATGTTTATGATTGTCATTTCTTCTATGCTACTGTATACAACACTTTGCTACTTACTAATGTTTTGCCAAATAAATATTTTCTGTTTTAACATTGCATTGGTGTTTACAGTGTACTTTTCAACCCCTCCCTTTCAGCAGATTACTTCTAGAACAAGATTGATATTTCTTAGGTTTAACTGACTTGATGTTATACTGTGATGATTAAGTGTTCCCTTAATTGTTTTGAGCAGTGCATTTAAAAATGTAATGTAATATAGGACAATGACCAGCACTTTATCATTCATTAAGGAAATTCATGTCTGGAAAATGCTGAATGAGCTAACTATGCTGAATAAAAATGTATTAACTTATTGATTCTTCCTCTACTTCTGTTTTTTTAAGATAAATGTCATGGTCTGAGTTGGCACACATTCATGTTTCTAGCGTCACTGGATTAAAATTGAGGCTCTGCTCTTTATTTACCCATTGACATAGTGAATCGTAGTATCAGAGCTCCATTGATGATGGGTCATTTTTTCATCGCTACGCATGCGCTTTCATCAAGTTCAACATACTCCGAGATGATTGAACTAATTTCATTGGCTGTTTTGGAACCAAAAACTCAGAGTTTCTCGTCTCGGGCTTAAACAACTCAGAGCTCAGGGTTAAGCTCAGAGTTTGTTAAACCTGCTTTCTGAAACAGGGCCCTGAACTGTACTTCTATACAAAAGTTTGAACTTTGTTTTTGGCAACAAATGAGATCAATATTCTGTATATAACGATTCTTTATTTATACATTTCATTAAACAATTACTTCTTATATAAAAGAGATTTCAATGATAAAAAAAACACCACAAAGAAACTAAGGATAACATTAAACACACAATAAATGATAAACATCAGAGACAGGAAAGGGCAAATGACTTCAGTTTTAGAATGATGTGCATTGCTTTAACCTGACCACAAATACAAAACCAACTCAGGAACTCTTTTAAAATGTACAGTATGCTGAGTGATTTGCTGAAGATATATATTTCACACTTAAATTACTTAATATAATTGACTTAATAATTATCATAAATGAAATATTGATTTAATGCTAATAAAAATCATTGCAAAAGCCCTGAGGACATAACCGATAAACACTGTACTAAATGCAAAAAGGTAAGCAGACAAAATTTGATGAAAACAGAGCCAAATGTGTATTAGATCTTATGCTGCCCTTTATATAAGAAAAACACCTTCAGATTCCACTTTTTTAGTGGATCACAACAGAGAAAAATAGCCATTCAAATAATCATCTAGGCAAAGTGATTAAGCTTCCACTGACCGATTAATATGTTGTGGTATAATATGTGGACATTCATCTGTTTACTGTATGTGTGCCTTTTCTATCTCTTTAGGTCAGAACTTTGGCAGTCAGCAAACTAACAAGCAGGGTCACCACAGAGATCAACTGTCCTGAAGCACTGCTTACTTTCATCAGTTTGTCTGCAAGAGAAAAACCAAACTGTGAATAAAATGTACTGATCAAGCTGTATGTCATCTACAAAATTAGGAAATGGTAAAAGAGCTTTACCTCTGCTATCTGGAGTCAGGACCAGTGGTCCTAGTGAGATGGCTGCAGTGTCATGGTAGGAAATGTCCCTCCCAACTCGCCTGTGGTAACCTGGGTAGCAATGCTGCAAAAAAACAAAATTTGAGGCTTATGCTGATGCACCTATAGAATCTCTCACTACAAACATACACACAAATACGGTAAGTACTTACAGCTGAGCAGTTGTTGTGTCTCAGAAGACACAGGTGGACCTGACAGTGCAGGTAGATGGATGTAAAGTTGGTAAAGCTGAACATCCTAAAGGAGAATTGGGCCACAGTTGAGATGCCATTCTGAACCAGCTCTACTGTACCATCTGCTTGATTAGGACACCTGAAAGACAGGGAAAGCTGTGGAAGTTACAGTGTTATCACTGAGACTATACACTAAGACAAGGTGAAGTTGCAATAACTCCTCCTACTGTGCACTAATGAGATCCCAGCGGACAGGGTAGCTGGCGATGTTGACTGGTGTGGCCCAGCAAGAGTCTAGAACGGTGGAGATCTGCCGTTCATCTACACCCTCTGTCCGCACCTCCACATACAACCTCTGGTCAATTTCCATTTCTATATTCCTGTCACTGGTCAGGGGGAAGCGGAAGCCAGCGTCCTGATAGGGGATCATTCTCATATGATACTGTCCATGGCCAGATGGAAGCTTCTTCCTCACAATGCTATAAAAAAAACACATAGTGGACAAGGAACAATTCAATGGCGAGTTTTTTTTGTAACTTCAAAGATTTGGTTATTAATAAAGATTAAATAGTTTAACAACAGTGAATACAATTTGCAAAACATGTGCTGAGAATCTTTGACGCATTTGCATTTCACCAACAGAACAGGGACTCCCCTGAATTTCTTTTTGTCTTGTTGGTTTAAATGGTGTATTTATTTGTGAAAGTGTAGACTACGGTAGCAGGCATTTACACAACATTTTCAATTGTTAGAGGCAGGAAAAATGGGGAAGCGTAAGGATTTGAGTAACTTTGACAAGGGTCAAATTTTGGGTCAGAGCATCTCCAAAACAGTCTGCATTATGACCAGCAGGTGGTCATAATGTTATGGCTGATAGTTGTACCGTTATTGAAACGCATTTATCTAGAACTCTATTAGCATTACATACTACAGATCACCAATATAAAAAGGACTGTGGTCATTTTGATTTAAGGTACAAACACCCACGTCAAGTAATCAAATAAAACATGCATGGAGATGGAATTGTCACCTCTCTACAGGGTTGATGCCCACATCCATAGACAGGGCCTGGGCTAGAGGGTATTCACAGCAGAAACTCAGAAGAATGCTCCTCTGGCGGCTGATTTGACCTTCATGCAGGTCCACTTCGCCCTGGATGGTGTTCTCATAGATGAAATGAGTTCCATTGCTCTTAAAATTGAAATGACAAACTTGTGTAAGTTGATTTTAGTTGTAATATGTCTTAGAGAGAGCATTTTTATCTCAAATCTTGTTAAGTCTGTATTGATAACATTATAGTCTATGGACTGTACCCTGAGAACTGTCCCACACAGCTGGTCGTCGTTGTTAAAGTGGAACACCAGTCGTCCGTCCCGGAGAGTCCCATTGCAAGAGTCATCTCGGAGGTGGAGGGCGCTCAAGTAGAAGCCAGCTTCAAACAGCTGGCAGCGTGACACGGACATGGTGCCTGAACTACTGACACAAGTGATGGACGAGTCTATGAAAGAGATATAGAACTAGTTAAGAGCTCCATGTGGTTTCTGTAGTTTCTCCATAGCTTATCTCAGTATTTAAAGCACTAATCAATTTTTTAATATCAGCAGTGGATCAAATGACTACTGTAAATGTCATTCCTGTGATGTTACTCGTAGTGACAAACCAACAGAGAATAGAGTTGTGAAGTGGGATGTCACTTAACATAGAAACACAGGACTCTCACAGATATTGTAACAATCCTATAAGGCCAGAAGAAGCCAGTCACGCAGGGATTACTCACAGGGATTAATTAAAGTTCCCATGAAACGGAAAGCAGAGTGATATTTGCTTCCATATGTGTACGTGTTTCCTGTAAAAAAACAAAGCTAGGAAGGGATTTGTCGCAGCTATTGATTGGTGTTTACAGTAGCCAGTAGGCCTATTTGAATGTGCATTACAGACCGACAGAGGCCAGTTTGACGATAGGGAATACAATTCCAAGGTGGCTTTCCCGCTGGGTTTGGCTGTTGGCACCCCGGGGCTGAGTCAGCTAATAGGGCAGCTAGCTACAGCTAAACGAAATAACCAGCTACAGATACAGACAGATAATGCACAATTAGCAGCAGTTAATGTTAGCGGTTTAGCAGAAAGTAAAGCTACCCATAAGGATCTTACGTTCATCAAGAAACTCCGTATATCATCAAGGTACTGGATTCCTTGTTGGTCTTTGAGGCTGTGTTTGGTTCAGTTTATGCGGTCACTCGGGGACTACTGAACACGGTTTCGTTGCCTGCTTGCCCGACTTCGGTTCCCAATCAGACACTGCCCCCGCCCATGATTCCCTGCTGGGTCTCCCTGCCCTAGCCTGAAAACCTCACCAGTGCTCCAAGCTTCCAGTATGGGCAGAGAAAGCTAATTTGACCACTAGTTGCACAGCTGACTAATTAGATAATGGCAGCTTAGCAGCAGTTAGCTGCTAACTTACTTCAGCAACAAGTAAAGCTACATTTTCATCAGGAAACTCCATTTATCACAGTGTTAGGGCAGAGCAGCCGGGGAACATCAGAGAGAAAAATCAAAAGTGACAACATTTCAGCAAAATCAGAGAATAGTTGTGTTTTTGTACAGTAATCAGCAGGGGTGTGGAAAATAATAGATTTTTAGATGCATCGCGATGCGGACTTGGGCGATTATGAATTGATTCACAAATGTCAATAAACGATTATCTAGAAGTTAATTTATAATGTAATGTTGTGGGAACAATAAATGTGGAACTGGGAAATGTGGAGGTGTAGCTCTATGTGGTGCACACAACGGAGACGTGTGGTTCTTACTGTTCGGCACAGACAGACAGTTGTTGAATGAATGACTGCTGCAACTACACTTAATGATTTTAACTCGCACTCTGTGCAGCACGGTAGCACTTAGCTAGCGTCCTCTCCTCATTCTTCAAAGGACAGCTACGTGACAGGAAGCAGTAGGTGACGATGAAGCGAGTGGAGCGGAAAAAAAATGAGCACTACGTTTCAGTCTGGCAGTAAATGTACAGTATAACGTTAGGTCACAGCGTGTCCATTAATTAAAGTCTGTCTGTTTTCCAGCTGTTGGAAAAGTGAAGGCAGTTGGCGCTAGCTAACATCTCCTCTTCAGACTGCGGTCTGGAAGCTATGCATGACGTTTTTTGGCTGCTAATTCAGTTTCATTCGTCATCTATAATCCACAAATCGAGCACACAATAAACCAAAAGCCGTTTCTCAAGGCCCATGGTGCTCAATCCAAGATCACAATAACCAACCTACAAGACAAGAAACAAACATGTAACAACAAGACAAAAAAAGGAACAGATATATTAAGGTGGATTGAACGTGGTTTGGCTGGAACATTGTAAAGTGCGTAGTTCAACCCCCATCTGAATCTATACTGATAACAGCAGCATCAGAAATCAAAATAGCAGCAGCAGAGGTCAGTAATAATGCTGTACATTTATGTGAAGTAACATTAAATATCTGCATTTCATTACTACCTACTTCTTTGGATTGTTGTTTAATACTTTGCTTTAAAAGTACCAAGTAGTCACACAGTGAGAAAAATACATCTTTATCCTATTCGTTTTACAATTGCATCGTAGCACTCATAATCGTAATGAGGTGCCAAGAAATTACCACCCTTGAGGTGATGCATCGTGATGCATCGAGGAATCAAATTGAATCAAATCATTGACCTGATAATGGTAATCGAATCGAATCGTGAAACCAGCGAAGATGCACACTCCTAGTAATCAGTGGAGCCCTGTCAGCCACCAGACACACTATGAGAATGATTTTCCTTGGATGCTAAATGAATACACGCCCCCAAGTGATGGATGAGTCATTCTTCAATGAATCTCTGGTTGATTCCTTGAAGTTACTGAAAGTAACTAAAAGTAATTACTTTTATATTGTGGTATTGTGGACTATTGTGGATTACGTTACTGATTAAATTTTTAAACAATAAGTAATTGACCTGGATTACATTTCTAAAGTAATCCTCCCAACCCTGCTGTAACCTTTGTCACTTCAGTGATCTAAAAAACAGAAACAGTGTTTTAAGAGGAGTGCCCTCACCGTAGCTCTGATTATTGGGCCAATGGTGGTGTTCATCACAGAAGCAGCCGTACACACCGTCCTTCTCACCACACCACTCATACTCTGTGCAGTTCAGCTGTTCACAGGGGTCTGACTCAGCTGGAGAAATAATAGGGAAAGGATGAGACAAGAAGTAAATAAACTGAAACCAAATGGGAAGAAAGAAGATACTTATAGCCCCCATGAAGACAAAAGACAACTATTCCTTTCACGATATTATTAGCCAAGTGCAAACATACCACATTGCAAAGCTGAGCGCCACTCAGGGATGTTCAGTCCCAAAACAGAGCAGGATTTCTCATAGGCTGAGACAGCAGAACACAGCATGCCATTGGCTGGAGTGTAGTGGCAGAGATCGTAGACACAGGAACTGAAAAATGGCCGGGGGTCAGAGTGCAGGTGACAGCCCCTGAATGGGCCGCTGGTGTTGGTGATGACACTACAGAGCTCAGAGTATTCTTCAATAAAGGAACAGTTATTCAGTCCATTACTCCTCTCATCATCTGTGGATCCACATCTAGAACATAGACATAAGGACATAATACACATGGGCAGAGTTAGTTTACTTTGCCACAATATATTTTTCTGTATTATGTTGCCACTGGAACTTTGGAAATAAGCCTAGATAGGTGTAAATGTATTGCAATTTAAAATATTTTAAAATGTGTGGTGATCTAGCTGAACAACTATATTTTCTTTGGGGAGTAAAAGATTGTCACCTGATGATTATATTTTGATGCCACTTTGTATGTGAAAAACCCTACACAAATTGTTTTTACAACAGCCCACTCACCCTGGTTGGCTTGTGGGTGCCTTCCAGCTGTGTCCAAAGTCATAATCATTATGTGCCAACGTTCCATTGGGCAAGACTTTGTCATCTGCAGGGACATGGTTGAAGTTTCCACACATCCCGGTGACTCTGTTTTCACGGTTGTGGCCGATTCTCACCAGTAATGTACTCTGACCATCAAACTGGACTACCAAATCAATGGCACTGACTATAATATAGCTTCCCTGCCGTACTACCTGAGCTAAGGTTCCTGCAGCGGTGGGAAGAGACACCTCAACTCCATTTATCTAGTAGAATGAGATAGAGAGAGATGAATGTGAGATGAGGAGCCAATTGTTAGCTATGCTGACACCAGACAGAAAGCTATTTATAATAAAGTCATAATGGATTTACCGTTACTCTTTTGTTGGGTCCAATCCTGATGTGTGCACTCTCTGGTTGATTTGAGAGGTATATATCCACTGCTGACACAAATGACACACGGTTGTTGCCACGGTGATTATTGGTGGCTACTACATGAAACTGGGTCTCATTGGTGCCGTGGCTCACACTCTCAGTAATAATGTAAGAGCATGTGCCCTGGAAATCAGCCAGTGCCCCATCAAAGGTGATGTAGTGTGGGTCTCCCCACACAGTGCAAGTAGACATTGCATCGAAACAGCCCAGCTGGCCATTTCTGATGGTGCACTGCTGTGTAGGAGTGCAAGATGCAGCAGAACAGCGCAGGTCATTTGGAGCAAGGCACTCACATCTCTGGGAGCAACCTTGTGTCCAGAAGGACTCACCAGCCTGCAACATGCAAGAAAAATAGAGACATGAAAAACAATAAAATGGAGTATGTGCTACATTACAGTTTTTCTCAACCGCTTTGATATATTTCTTGAATCATCCTTAAAATATGCACAACAGTAACTGCAGTTCTCGAAACATATTGTACAAAGAGCATTACACAGTAGATTCCCTGCTAAAGCCTGTAACTTGCTGGAAATCGTTAGACTATCTCTCAAAAGTAAATCTTTATGTCACTGAACTTGTCAGTGCCAGAATATCAGAATGAAAAGTCCTTGTGTCATTGTTTACAAACAAGGTAGTCAAACTGTCATGTCAATGACATGTTGTCAATATAACAGTGTAGTACGTAAGTATTTTCTGAAGACTTGAAACTAGCTAGACTGAGAGGATAACTTCATTATAAAAGTGTTTACTGGGGTAATAAATCAGATGAGAAGTAGGATCATTTTGCCATTATTTCTAATGTTACCAGACTTCTTTTAGCGACCAGTGAAGTCACCCCCTGCTGGCCGTTAGAGAGAATGCAGGTTAAAGAGACTTCCACAATCGCTTTTCAGACCTGGAGGCTCCCTCAAACAGGGAATAGTGTTTATAGTTTAGGGGAATGGGTGGGCTTTTTCATAAATGGCGTTATGGTTTTGAAATTGTTGTCCAAAAGCCTGGTTTTATGTTTAAGCAATCGAGAAAAACTCGATATATGGCACATCTGCATTCCGACATCTATGATATCAGAGAGCTGCTTATGTGCAATGACTAACTAACTAATAAAGATTATTTGTAATTGTTTTTTTCTAATTTTCTAATTGTTGTTTTATTTGTTTACAGGTATATGACTTACTTCATAGTAGAAACCATCATATTGGCACCCACAGCTTTCCTCAGGGACACACCTTGTCCCACTCCTGACGAAGCCTTCATCACAGAAACATCCCTCAGAGCAAACCTGATCACAGCTGGCATTGCTGCGGCTGTTACAGGTGTAGCCACAGTCAGTACCACACAGCTCATAATGGCTGTTTGCTGGACAGTTTAGTCCTTAATTGGATACAAATGATAGAATGACTTTAGTCAATCACCAAAGCTATTCATAGATGCAGTATTATAAGACATATTTTAGGGAATACCTCATTGGTTGTTTCTTACACTTTTGTCATAGTAGATAACACATGAACTGGTTGACTTACTGCAGTTGGTGTTCTGTCTCCAAGGGTAGATGCGAACATTAGCAGACTGACAGGCACTGACATAGGCCTGAATGGCCCTGCACAGAAGTTCTTGGCCCCGATTTCCCGACACACAAACATCAAAAACACAGTCATTGAAATATGGTGCCGGGTCCACCTGCTCATGGCAGAAGCTGAAGGGGCCGTTGGCTGCCTGAATCACCTCACATTGGGCTCTAGCAGGTTGGTCATTGGTGCATTGCGGGCAGGAGGAGCCACACCCTTCACTGCAAGTGTAGTTGCCTGCCACTTTCCAAGCTTGCCCAAACTCATCTGGAGTGGTGACCATCATTCCAGATGGGGTGTGGAACTCATCATTTGCATTTCCATTGAAGTTTCCACAAAGTCCACACGTTTTTCCACTATATTGACAATAATAATTAGAGCATAGGTCAGTCAAACAATCTTTATTACTTTTTAAAATATATTAGTATATTATTATGTAAAAGGCTCTTTGCATAGCAAACAGGTTAGTGGAATTCAAAGTAATTTACAGATGACTGACAAGCTGATTATAATACAGTAAAAATGTAAAAAGTAAAACTTCAAGACAAATGCAAAAAAATTATCAAAATGCAATAATACCAATTAAATATTTATAAATAAATTCTCATTCGAAAGAAAGCTAAATAGGTTGGTTTTAGGTTTAAGATATTCCCAATTTCAGCAGCTTTCTGCTCCAACTGCTCAGAATAGAAAAGCTGCCTCGCCAAAAGGTTTTGTCCTGTGCTTCAGAACAACTAAAAGACTCCTCCCAGAATATCCGATGGTTCTTCCTGATTCATACATGCAAAATATCGGATAAGTAGGCTGGTGCTTTAAAGACAAATACAACAATTAAAACATCTATGTGAAAACTGACAGGCAACTAATGTTAGACTTTAAAATTGATGTAATGGATTTTGTGGACTTTGTGGTTCTAGTCAATACTCTGGCTGAATCTTGATGATGAAAGCCCCCAAAATGTGAGCTGTGGTGGATGACAGATACCTGTAATTTGAAGGCACAGAAATAGACACTGTACTCCATCCATCATAAGAGACACCCAGGCCAAAATCAGCTCTGACAAATGTCTGAGATCCACTTGCATAGACAGACACAGAACCTCCATTCAAGGTAATAGGTAAGTTTTTAGTTATTCCATTTACCTAGTGGAAAAACAAAATTAGAAAAAACAAGACATTTGAATTTTTACTGTAACCTGTAACCATTTTTACCTAAGACCCCTTAAATTAAAAAACTATATATTTCAGTCAGGACAACTTTCATCAAAGTGTTGTGGTGGCAGCCCGGCTGACGGTGAGTGTCCTGGTTTTTTCTCCTTTTTTGTCTGTGATTCTGTTTTCCCTGGTTTTCTCTGTACTCTGCCTGCCTCCCTGTGTCTCCTCCCCCGTGTGTGCTCCCTCTCTCTCTCTCTCTCTCTCTCCGCTCCTGAGCCCAGCCAACAACCCGTACCTGCACCTCATCAGCCACGTCCTCTGCCTGCCACACCTGCCAGCAATCAGCCTCATCTCCCACAGTACTTCTACCCCGGTTCTCCACTCCATCGCTGCTTGATCGTCATTGCTCCTTTACCCGGTGCCACTTCACCATTCAAGCTCACATGTATTCAGCATCTTTTCGATTTCCCTGTGCTTTGTCTCTGCTGTGTCTGACCCTGTTTTTCTGTCTGTCTCTCCCCAGGTTCACTCACCCTTGTCCTCAGCCAAGTCAGCTGGGCTCGTTCACCTGCCCTCTCCCCTCGGACTTCCCCCACGGCGTCCTCCCAGTTCTCCCCTGACTCCTCTCTTCCTCGGCCCCTAGTGTTCCCCGGCTCCCTGGTCTCAGTCTCCTCGGTTCCTCGCGCCTGCATTTCCCCGGAATCCACCTCTCCCTCAACTCCAGTCGCTCAACCCCATTTTTCCCCAAATAAAACCTGTTAATCCCCAGAGTTGCGTTTGGGTCCACTCTGTCCCCACACTTCACAACATCAAAGGCTGATATTGCGGAGTTATATTTGGCGGTACGGCTCTATTACGGGCTCTGAGAACAGCTCTCCGCCATTCCACATGCGTATGTGGAAAGCATGAGGCAGGGAGAGCACCTCCCTGCCCATCCATGTGCATATATGTAAAGCCCGAGGTAGAGAGCCGCAGTAAAAAAAAAAAAACATACAGAGCAAGCATGCAATTTACATGTTTAATCAGATACTAGATGGGCAATGAATCTTGGTGTTAAACGGGCCTGGGGCTGAATACTGTACTGTTTATTATCAGGATGCAGCCTCTGCTGCTGTGTGTCGCCTCCACACATACGGGCTCACACACACAAACAGTGGCAAGCGCAGAGATAGGTTGTGGACACTTTTAAGTGAATATAACTCCAAGCCTTTGCAGTATGTGCAACAAAACCTCAAGAATAAAAGACAACTTTGTCAATACATCCATTAAACAAGCTTAACATGTAGACGGGGTTAATTGATCCGCTCTGTCCACTTCTCTCATCCCATACTTTATTAAATGCACACTGCGCTAACGCTAGCTTGGCAAGCTAGATGTACAACGAGCTAAATGAAAGCTGTCTGTATTCTAACTGTTAGCTTAGATTGCCATGTAGCTTCAATCTGCACATTGTTACCTGCAGTGAATCATGCAGAGACATAGGGAAGGAGGACAGGAGCTAGCTGCCTAAACTGTGTGGCTCTATCTGCGTACAGACACATGACACCGGGACCGCGATAGTGTGGCGGCGCATGTTAGCATGTTTGATTCTATTTGGCCAAATTAATTCCCCGATATGCTTCCGATAATGAGATTTGCCCGATCGGTCGATACTTATCGGATCGATAATTATTGTGCATCCCTATCAGATACAGCCTGAAAGGTGGAGCTGGGGTGGCGGTGGGTTATAAGCTTTTGCATAGGAAGCAGCGAGGACAGGCAGGTAGGCTACGGCAGCTTAAATGTCTGGATTTGCCAATGAATGCTAAGAGAGGAATCAGCTGAGCTGTCAGCTGATGTGCTGCTGAAGATGGCTGCTAACGCTGATATGCTGGAATGAGCATAGCTTGACTTCGTTGCCTGCCTAAACCATCGCTGTGCTTGATTTGTGACTCAGATATGTACAGTGGATTGTTTCACTTTTGAAAATAAACAGTGTCACTGTCATTGGATCACTGTTTCACTATTTCAGACATATCTTTTGGGCTTTATAATATATCACTAATGTTTCAGAAATGGCTCAACTTACCTCTACCACTCCATTTCTCTCCCTTGACATATGCAATTGGTAGCCCCACACATTCACAAAAACTTCAGCTGTGATTGAAACTGGCAACCCGCTCCATGGCTCATTCTTAGCTTCCACTGAAAATTGGTGGAGTCCATCAGTGGCGTTACAGAGGGTCGCCAAAACATAACGGCAGGTTCCCTGGAAGTCATAGGCCTTGTGATCAAATGTGAGGTAGTGAGGGTCTCCGGAGGCAGAGCAGGTGCCCTGAGGGTTTGGATGACAGCCAAACTCACCCCCCACCACACGGCAGGTCTCCTGGGGACCACAAGAGTTGGGGATACAGTGGACTGCCCCAGTAGTGCCATTACAGCTACACAAGCTCTGACATTCCTCACCATCCCAGAACTGTTCGCCACCTTGCCGATAGCGTCCTTGGTGATAGCATCCACAGGATGTTGGAGGCACACACTGGTTGCCATTAAGGACAAAACCATCATCACACTGGCACCCATCCTGGCACACAGTGTCACAGACGAAAGGGAAAGAGAGGCTGGGGCAGGCGGAAGGACAAGAGGTTCCGCAGAGTTCATTATGGCTGTTTAGAGGGCAGCTTGGCGCTAGAGAAAAATAAATTAATTTAGCAAAGTAATTTTATTTATTTATATCAAAGCTACTTGCACCAAAAAGGGGAAAGTGCTTACCACAGCCAGTTGCATTCCTCCAGTGTCCGAGAGCAACGCCCTTCTGTTGACACTTTAGTGCATAATCTCGTAGGACTTCGCAAAGCGACGATGATGGATCTCTAGAACCTCTAATGATCTCCACACATGCATCCACATGTTGGTGTGGGTCCACCATGGCCCAACACTGGGTAAACGGCCCAAGAGGTGAGCCAAGAATGCCACAGTACTCACTTGAACTGTAATTTGTTGTAGAATTGTTATGATTCACACTTTCTACGCATTGAGCAGCGAGCGAGCCATCACGCCAGCTGTCCCCAAACTCTTGAGCGCTGTTGACCAGGATGCCACTGGGTGTGCGGAAATCATCATGTGGGTGACCATTGTAATTACCACACAGTCCACCTAGTGAGCCATAGTAGACACCAGGTGCAGTGACACGCACAAAGTGAGGCCAGACTGTCTGCACAGTTACACCAAAGGAGGTGCGAAGGATGATACTGTGAACGCTGCTGTGGTAGATTTGGATTCTGTTGGACGCTGAGTTGAAAGGTAGTCTGATGACCTGACCATCAACCTAAAGGGCCATTTAAACAGTCATTGTCAGATTTTTTTGGTTGAATATTGCAACATGCAAGAATGAAATAATTATGCTGCTTCACATTTAAAATGGTGGATATATCACATTAAATATCAATCTGTTCAAACAATATTCTGTTTACTTACCTGTACTCTGCTGGTACTTGCCATCTCAATGGACACTTGTGTGCCCTCTGCCTCAAACTTAAGCAGGTTGGCAAAACCCTGTTGGCCACTGGGCTCTTTCTCTGCTGTCACCACAAAGTGGGTGTAATTAGACAATCCCATTACTTTGGCAAGAGTCAGTCGACACGCTCCAGGATACTGGTATGTCAGTCCATCAAACGTTTGATAGGACCCCGGGCCACTTTTCCAGCATGTTGCATAGCTGTTTGGTCTGCATCCTCTTTCTCCCTCCTCCACTCTGCAAGATTCAAGTGCACCACAAGCATGGGAGCTGCAAGTCATGGAGCCAAAATTGCAGTTACAACGTCTCCCACAGTCTGTGTCTAGTATTACAGTTTCTCCAGAGCGGTAGTAGCGACCCTCAAAGCTGCAGCCACAGTCAGAAAGAGGGACGCAGACCCCAGCACTGAGGATGTAGCCTGAGTTGCAGATGCAGCTCTCCTGGACAGGGAGAGGGCAGTTGTGGGTAGAATTGGGACTGACACAGGTAGCTGGACATCCTGTGCCTTGGGACTCAAAGTGGCTGTTGGCTGGGCAGGGGATTTCTAGAGAAAAAAAAACACTGACCATGACATCATGTACATTTCACCCAAAGGATATTCTGAAATAAGGTTGAAAGACTGACAGACATACCACAGAAGCCTGGTCTCCTCCAGCTTGGCAGCTGTATACCATTCTGTTGACACTGACTTGCATAAGCATTAAGGGCTTGGCACAGAATGGGCTGGTACCCTTCTCCTACACACAGATCGTACACACAGTTGTCCAGAAAGGTCTGTGGGGGAAGTCTTTGATGGCAAGCAGCAAAAGGACCTGAACTGCTCTGGAGGATACCACAATGAGCAGTATTGCTGTATAAAACTGTCTGAGCTGCAGTGCAGGCAGCACAGTGCAGACCTACACATCTGGCCCCACAATTAGGCTCATCGTCCCCTGCTGCTTGCCAACTGTTGGCAAAGTCCACATCAGAGCTCACAACCTCGCCTTGGCGGGTTTGAAAGTCGTCCCTAGGATCATTGTTGAAGTTTCCACACAGGCCACATGTTGCATTCTGGTAAGTGTAAGGCACACTGATCCGGACATAATGGTAGCCATCGTAGGATACCTCTAAGCCAAAGTTGGTACTGACGATAGTAGAAAAACCTGACTCATAAACCTGGGCAGTGCCGTTGTTGAGATAGATCGGAGTGGCTGCAAAGTCTCCATTAACCTGTAAGCACAACAGTGAGCAAAGATATAGTTGTAAAAATATGAACAAATAAATGATTACTGAAAGTGGAGACTGTAGTCATTATTGCTAACCTTAGCCTCACCACGACGTCCCTTGACAAGCTCAATGGTTTCATTATAGACAAACACTTTGACCAGTCGTGTCCAAGAGACTCTAGTGCTGCCCCGGTTTTCATTCTTGCCCTCTACTCGATAGTAGGGCAGCCCTAGACCACATTGCTCAGAGAGAACGTAAGTGCAGGTGCCCTGAAAGTGAAACACTGTACCATCAAAGGTATAGTAATGTGGATCACCACTTATGGTGCAGGTGCTTCTCTGCACTGTCTGGCAGGAGAACTGAAAGGCACTTGGTCGGCAGATTTGGGAAAAGGAGCAGGGTTGGCTCTGACACTGAAGGCCTGCTGAGGTGCAGGTGCACTTCTGTGCACAGGTACTGTCGCTCCAGAATGAGTCGCCCAACTGCACAGGTTCACCTTTGAAGAACAGAAAAATAAAAGTTCCTTGAAGGTTATTGACTTCAATATGCAAACACTATTAGCATTTTAATCTGTTCTGTGTGCGTTTATGCGTAGGGAAAAAAATAAGGTGATAGAGAGGAGCAAGGGCATAGGGATGGGAGAGACAGATTTATTGGTGGCCTGAGAGCGTTTTTGGCCCCTTAATTGTCAACTTGACCAGCAGCAGCAATAACATTGCAAGCTTCTTTTTAATCATATGGAAAGCAAGAGAATTTACACGAGACGTGCCTTGAGACGTGCACGTCTCAAGGCCTTTTTTCTAACAGGGATCAAGCTCCGCCTGCGTACTCACTTGGATCCGTGGAGTCACACCGTGCTCACCATGTGAACAGACAGGCAGAAAAGCACTCCGTGAGTATCTAGCTAAAGATATTAACCATGGCGGGTTGAACCTATTGTTCATCAGTGTCTAGTGAATTAAACAGTTAACTTAAGTTTTCTACTAATAATGTCCTCTTCCCTCATATAACTCATAATATTTTGGTCCGTTGCCTTCCATTTTTGGACGCTCAGCAACTTTCTCTCTGAATAGTGACTAGAGTTACATCTACAGAGTTTTTCAGACCATCAGGGGGAAGTGAGAAGTATAGACATTTCTGTTATATTGTAGACAAATTATTCCCCTGCATGACATACAAGAAAGGTCCCCAGCCACATTGACCCGGGGCACTTTGCATGGTCATTGTCAGTGTCTTAATCTTGTAAAACACCAAGATGCCCAAATCATTTAACTTTTGAGAACTACAAATCAATCAATACAAATCATACATATACAAGTACAATAAAGTCAGTAGTGTGCAGCATATTATTCAACAAACACGGGGGTTTTTTTGTCATACTTTCAGTATCTTTGTGGTATGGTGGTCTGTATCTGGTCTTACCATTGAAAGTGCAGCCTCTTGATCCATGGTCTGTCCTGAAGGCCCAGCGACCGGGTACATTGACATTGCTGCCAAGGCGGAAATTTGAGTTACTGCCTGTTGCACTGCTGGTGAATGATCCAGGGATGGTGAAATGGTGAGTGGAATTGATTGTGTCATATCCTGCCTGAAATGCATAGTTTTATTTTTTGTATTTGCCGTTAGTGAAGGTACATCCAAGTAAGCATGGCAACTTCAAAACATATTTTGTAGTCCATTGCATTTAATTTTAATTACTCTAACCTGTACACTGCGAGTTGTGGAGGCTATTATCCCATAGTTCATCAGCACAAATGAGTACTGGCCGCCAGAGATCAAAACTGCTTGGACAGTTGTTTGCTGAAAAAAATGTACTTTTGTTTTTTATAGTAAATACAGTAATAGGTAAAACACACATACACATCATTTATATATTTTCCTACTTAAAGACGATGACTTACTGTTCCAGTGGTTGGAAAGTAGGCCACCTCATACCATGTTGCAACAAAGACCCAGTTGGCACTGAAGTGCAACCCTGGAAAGTACGCATTAATGTCCTGTGTAGCTTGTTGGAGAACACTGCCACTGCTGTACTGGTTGTAGTAAATCTGACCATTTCCTCTGTTGTCTAGATCTGTCCAGAATGGAGCAATGATGTCTCTTGATCCATATAATGGAAAACTCTGAGGGCTGAAGCTGCTCCAGGGCATGTTGAAGGTCAAGTGTCCATTGTGGTTCACCTGAATAAATAAATCTGTTGTTATTAACTTAGACTTAGTAGGCATCGATTACAGTCATTGACAATCGCATGTACCCTGTGACCCTGTACGCAGGAAAAGCAGTTGACGATGGATAGATGGATGGATGGATGGATGGACAATCGCATGTTGTTAATTATTATTTATATTATTTACAGTATTTCATAACCATATTATAGGAATAGATAGAATATACTGTTGAAAATTTTGTTAAAGTTAAACACAGTTCATGTGTTGGAAGGGATTTGTTACCCAGTGGGTGAAAATTGGAGACCTCCACAAAACATACCAGAGTTTTTAAAAGGCTTCAAAAGATTTGAATGTTCTTGTTTGCTTAAAAAATGTTTACATACATAAATCTGATTATACGTCTGTCCAAAATAAACAAACGATCGTTGCAGGGGAATTAGAGGAGAACTTCCATCGTCTGACTGAGAGCTTGTTGTTCCAGCAATTGGGTACAGGGGTCCTAGAAAGAACAAAATATTTTTTTAAATAAATAATAATAATTAAATATAATAATAAATAAACAGATTATACCTATTAGTGTGGTTGAAAGAGGGTCTTTGCAGTGACAGAAGATAGTCAGAGAGATGGAGTATTACATAACTAGAACAAAACTGACATAAAAACCATGGAATAGCTGCTAGTAGCAAGCCACAGCACAAATGTATTCATTTATCCTAATGTTACACTTGTGAGCTGTCTGTGATATTCCCTGTGTCCCACTTGGTCCTGACTCTCCCTGTTCTGTGGTCAATTAATCTCACATCTAGGGAAGCAACTGATGTTTATGAACACAGAACTGCCTTCAATGCAAACTCTGATAACCTGCCATTGGCCACTGTGAATTTTAGAAGATACTATACAGTGTGTCTACTAGCTAAACATACAACTTAAAGCTCATCTTCCTCAGTTTTTTCTACCTTTGCTCTAGTGACCTATGTCCTCTTCCTCTTAAAATACTGTAGGATGCTCATCTATGTGTGAACATTTTGACTACTTTTAAATTGTTTACGAACACATAGCAGTGACTCATACACACCTCAGGGCGCAAGTTTTTAAGGTCAAGGATGGTCACAGACGGGCAAAAAGTAGCCCAGGAGTTTGTCCCTGGTCAGCCCACTTTCCAGACAAAGTATTTGTAAGGGCTCTAGGTCTTTGGAGACATTTATTCCTGCATTCTTATGAATTTTAAGAAAGTAAAGTACATCACTAAATGAGCAATTAAAATACAGGGGCGAGGGGTGTGCGTCAGGTTAGAAACAGCAGCTGTGCAACATGGCAATTTCAAGGGAATGCAATTTGCTTTGCTTGTTGATTATCTGTAATTAAGCTATTTCTGTTTGAAACAATTATTTTCCATTTTAAATCTACATGATAAGAACATTTTAAAATTTCACACTAAATAACAGCAAGTAGCTGCTATTTTTACCTGCAACATTTTGTTTAACAGACTCATTGTCGAAAATTGCTATAAAACAAATAGGATCTGAGGATCTATCGACAGAAGTGCAATATAAGATCCATAACTATGTTTTTAGTGGTGTTTAAAGACCTTACATAATAAACCATTATGTTTTTATTACCTTAGAATGAGCCATTTATATCTCCATAACCGTGGGTCCCCCCCTTTCATGGACGTTGCCAGGTTGCATTGTCATGTTTCTATAGCTGAAAACGGACAAACTGTCCTACAGAGCGCGTTTCGTCACTACGTTCTTCTTTTTCTACTTCTGGTAGTGTTTGAAGAAGAAGAAGTTGTAATAATATATAGCAAGGGTGGGCAAATAAGTTTTGCATCGGAGCAATATTTTCTACCATTAGATGCTGAATGAGAATATAAGCCATAATGTTGACTTACATTTGAGAATTTTTTGGATGATTTACACACTCCGTACTTTACCAAACTTCTCCTAGCGATTAAGTCCGACCAACTTAAGATTTGTGCTGTGCGGTCTAAAGCCATTGATGATTAAAAGTTGTACAAACGATGAGTTTTCATGGAACGGCGTGGACGTGGCGTGGCATCCAAAACTGATGATTTGTCATGAAACAGGAAGTTATTGTAACTTCAGTCTACATGCTCACATCTGTACCAAATTTGAAATGTACTATAAAAGTCTCAGCCTGAACACATCCACATGCCAATATTCACTCAAAGTCAGAGCGCCACCTCCTTGCAACAGGAAATGACACGTTTTATGCTGTAATGTACAACCCCTAGCAGATTGGACTTCAAAACTGTCCCAGAAAACCCATAAATCAATGATTCGCCATGAAAGAAGAAGTTGTTTCAACTTCAGTGTACATGCTCACATCTGCACCAGACTTTACGGGCTTGATAACAGTCCCGCCCCGAACACAACGAATTTACAGCCACACTGGCAAAGCTCCAGGATCTGCAACGCAGCCACCTCACACCTTGACACACTACATGTGTGAGGGCCCGCCCAACACTTGCAGTTTTAATATTTATTTATATTTTTTGCAGCTATCAAAGTACCATAATCTGGCAGTGGGCCAGATACTATTGTTGCCGGGCATTTTTGGTGATGATACATAATCACAGAGAGAATTAATGTTTTTCCCTTGTCAATGCTCGAATAACCTTTATTTAATGTGTGGTTTATAATGGACTGTGGTGCAGAAACAGTGACAATGTTTCTTGACATTTTCCATGTCATCTGTCAGTGGCCAAGTCAAAATAACATATGGTTCTACTAAATAATTAAGTAAATATAATTTCTTAATATATCTACCTAAGGTAACCTAATTTTTTTGACTGGCTACTCTCTGCTGTCTCAGAAGAGACCGCTTTTGTGCTGTGTCAGCCACCGTAGATGTCTTACGCTCTTTGAAAGGTTAGGGGGAAGCGGTAGACTGGACAGATGGTTGCAATTCACAACCCTTGCCACTAGATGCCATTCAATCTAACACACCTTTAATTAGAAACAGGAAAATGTCCATCAAAAGAAAGCGATCCTCTGTTCAACAACAGGAGACTGTTAATATATCACAATAAATCCAATGAGCATCTTACTTAGATGTTAGAGTGTGGATTCTACATTTGCTCTGCAGAGACTAAATACATTTTTGATATGTCATTGATGGAAAGTGAAAGTATTGTGAACGAGCGATTCAGGCTGCTTCCCAACATGGTCACCAGTGCCATGGTGTGTGCTCACTGGATTTCAGTTGTATTAGTACCAGAACAATAAAGCCTTCAACTGAAAAGACATTTGCCCAATTTTACAAAAGTTTGCATCTGTCCAGCTCATTCATATCAGTGACAAGCGCCCAAAACCAGGGCTCTACCAGAGACACTTTATGGAGCTACACAGCCTGTAAGGGCTTTGGCTCTATACTGCATAACTGCGTGCACACAGCCTGGATGACAGCTTGTTTTGATTAATGAAGCAAAATAGAATTAAATGGTATGAATGGAAAATGTAGTAAAAATGTTTTTTTTTTTTTTGAAATAGTAATCTATTACTGAGTTACTGGTCACCCTAGCCATCGTGGCAAAAATTGCCCCCCAGAGAGATTTAGGATGAGACGCCAATGGTCATCTGAATAATTTGCCTAATCTCCACTGGTCTTCAGATTGCAGTAGCCACATACAGAACAGCGGCCAGAGGTAAACTTTTAGTTTCTTGAAAAGTAGTTCTTTGTTAGTTCTAAAAGTCCCAGGTACATTTGGTGCTGCTTTGACTTTTGGATACCTTCACCTGTCATTTTTTTGGACTCTGTTCAATTAATCAGTTTAATTTGACCCACTTAGAGTTTTTTTAGATTTGTGGGTCCATTACCACCGTGTGTTTGCCCTAAATACTTCTATGAACTGGGACATTTTTTTTTATTTAAAAAAGAATTGAACAAGCAGTGTTGGGCGGGCCCCTGCCCCTGCTGCTGTGAATTTGCAATGCGCTTCAGAAGCTGCACGAAGGTGTTGTACGTCACTTCCTGTGACCCCTTTGTGGCACTACAGAGCACTTGGCACTACGACTACAAGTGGATATTGCTGTGTAGATGTGTTAGGGGCGGGACAGTTCTCAAGCACGCAAAGTTTGGTACAGATTTGAGTATGTACAGTTAAATTACAATGACTTCCTGTAACACGGGAAAGCACCGACCCCGGCAAGGATACACCGTTGAAAGAAAACTCATGTGCTTTACAACATGACATGTTGTATTGTACTCAATGTATTTAGAGTTTTCGGTGCTAGTTTTGAAGTAGATTTAGCCAACCTGCATGAAGTGGTTAATCACAGCATAAATGTAGTAACTTCCTTTTGCCAGCATGTGACGCTTTGACTACGTGTGAATTGCTCCAAGAGGCTTTTTGGTACATCTGAACATGATACAAGTGCTACACAAATTTCGTATATGAAGATGAAATGTGCCAAGGGAGCTGCTAAAGGTCACTTCCTGTTGCCAGCAGATGGCGCTATGTCTTTGAGTAAATGTTGGCATGTGGAAGTGTTCAGGGCGGGACTCTTATTATACATCTCACATTTAATGAAGATGTGAGCATGTACAGTGAAGTTATTACAACTTCCTTTTCTTGGCAAATCGCCGATTTTCGACACCACGCCACGGGCACGCTCGTGGACGAGAACTCACCATTTGCACAACTTTTAATCGATAACGGGTCTAGACTGCACAGCAAAAATTTGAAGTCGATCAGACTAATTCCCTTTCTTAAAGTGAAAGGCTTTTTTGTACGTCTGGACATGATACATGCACCAAAGAAATTTCGTACTCGTAGGTGAAAATTCGGCTAGGGGCTGATCTGTAGGGGGTGCTACCAAGCCATTTTTACACACCCATGTGCGAGACTCACAAAAAATACGAAATTTTTCGCGCCACCTGAATTATTCAGTTCCAATAGGGACCTCGCATGTTTCATGCTCGGGCCCTAATTAGTATTTTAACACCACCTAAATATCTGGTTTTGGTTGAGTGTACCTTAAGGTTTGTCAGTACACCGTGACATCACTGTTTGGTGTAGTTACATGTGTAGCAAAGGTATTATTATTATTATTATTCTACACCAAAACATACCCTTGCTTCTCTTGTCAAAGTGTTGTACCTCTCCAACCCCCACACCGTGCTATATTAATGTCAATAAGTGACACTAAACACTGGAATGTAAATTGTGTATTACTATAACACAATTCATGTATAATGCTTTAGGTTGTGTGGTGTTAGTATAGTCACTATACTATTTACTATTCCTACATACATATACATTTCAAAACTTTAAAAGCGACAAGTAAATTTTAATTGGACTTCAAATGAGATGCATTAATTCCTGCTAACAAATAAGGATCATACAACAGTGTTATTAGCTGTAATTCAGCAATACTACAAAATCCTGAAGTAGTAACTGAGCTGCTGACTTTGACATGATTTTATGTTTGACCTGAAAAAAGTATGAACAAATAAAAACAAGACTAAGCTTCAACTTACCTGATGTCTGAGGAGTTACCGTACCTATAAAAAAAGAATTAATATTATTAGACACAAATCTGTGACTGCTAACACTAAACGGAAGTTTGTTAGAATATACGTAAATGCATCAAATACATAAAAAAAATTTACTTATCATCCCCAAAAGCAGCATTGGCAACATGATTTTACTTGCCATTCTCCAGAAGTCAAAAGTCAAACCTGCTGACCAAATAAAATGAATAAAGTTTCAGGAAAACAAATATTCTAGTATACAAAATTGGCAAACACGTGCAACATTTTTGTTGGGGGCATGTTAAGAAGGTCCTGGATCTGCATCTGAACCAGATCCGCATCAAAAACAAATAGCTTGTTCTTTGACGCAGCACAGGTTTCCTTGATATTTTATAAATATGTAATTACATAACTTATAGCTCATGTCCAGCTAACTGGCATAAACACCATCCATGTGTCTTAGCTAATAATAGCAATAAAAATAAGATTTTGACAATGTTAGATAAAGTATTACAAGCAATGAAACATTCATTTTAGCTGTCATTATATTGTGGTGCTCATTTGATTATTTCATCATATAACATTATAATTCTCAATTAAGTTAGTCCTAAAATTAAATTGTAAATAAGCACCAGTTTTTAGGGAATGTTATCATTAGGCAGCACAAAATAAATTACCTGTTCATATGTGCTTCTTTTGTTCCGAGTCTCAGTCTTATTTATGTGAAAAATGCAGGGCTGCATCAAGGCTTTATACTGTAAAAGCTGGCACAGTCCCATAGATCTGTTGTTTGACCAGTTACAGGTATTCAGATGGATTAAACCGAATTGTTTCCTCATAACAAGTGAACAAAACAATCCATTGTGCATCAAGAATAATGAAGGTGTTCAGCAGAAACAAAAAGATATTTAATATTCTACCAGACACTTTAGCACTTACTGTGAAGTTGTTAGAATGCCATTTAAGATCCTGGTCCCAAAGAGGTTGAGCAAGACAGCTCCAGAGGTGTGCGACCTCTGGCGTACATAGCAATTGTAACTCGCTTTGGATAAAATCGTCGCCTAAATCAATAAATGTCAATGAAAATACTAGCAAAGAAAAGTGAATTTTTCATATCATAATCAGAATTTTTGTGAAAAGTAATTACTGTACTATACTATAACAGGTGATTTATCATTCAATGAAAGATTGTCCCTTGGAAATGGAAAACACAAAACCTGTAAATGTAATTTTAAATGTGAATTCCTACGTATAATTATACAGTGTACATGTAAACATGAATGCACATAATTTATATAGCACATTTCATAAAATGAGGCAACTTCAAATGCATTACACTGTAGTAAGTGCATTCAAACTCAACAAGACCAAGATCTACAATAGATGTCACCACAAAAGTACATCCCTCAACAACTAAAGCTTGTTGAGGTCTACAGTGTGTTTGCAAACAATGTGACTAAAAGCCATTTTAAATAAAAACAACTGTTTAAAAGTTTTGACTCATAAAAGAAATTGAATTTAAAAGAGACTATATTAAAGAAAAGATGTCTTTACTGTACATTGTATGCTACGAAAAATATTTAAAAAAAATACTCATTCTGAACACGTACTGTCACATATCTAGACAACATCTCTTACGAAGTGAAAAAATGCTTAGCGCAAAACACCTTCACCCTATGTGCTGTGCCTTTTTATCTTATCTTACTTGATTCATAATTATTTTTTAGAGTTCAAAAGCTATTCTGGTATATGCAACTTTATCTTTTTATTCATTAAAACATAATTGTCTTTGTTTAGGTGTGGCAGGAACCTAACTGCCTGCTGGTATATCTTGAAAATATTTGAAGTAGGTGTGTATCAAAATGACGTGCGAAAAAATGAAACTGTGGCTTACAGTTCCAGTCAACCTCATTTGTTTTCACCATGACCATAATCTTTCCTTAACCTAAACCACAGAATTTGAGAGGCATAAGAAATTTCACATATATATATGTCTTATGTGATATATTTAGCACAGTCTAATAACATTGTTTTATTTTTGTTGTGCAATTTTCATAGTTTATGTGTTATGTATATATGTTATGTTGCATTATTGTATGTGGGTCACATAAATTACAGTGTCTGAGATTATAAATCTAAATTGAATTTAACAAAGCAAACAGTGGCCAGTCATTTTGTGGTGTTGGTGGACTCCATTTTGTTGGCTGCAGAGTTGTCGCTGTAGTGGGCTTGGGAGTGCCCATGCAGAGAAGCCAACCCCATTCCTTCACAAAAGGAGCTACTTTTGGCAGCTAAATCATAATTTATTATAGGAGACAAGAAGAAAGTCATTTTTATTTTTAAACAATCTTTACTTACTGGCGTACTTAACAAACTATGATATTAATGTAGTATTTTATGGTCGCACTTAATCGATACACGCTGGGAGTATTGTCCCAGGTTACCTAATCCAGAAATGATTACTGAGATGATTAGATGATTGATTGTCCTTCATTACAGATAACTAAGTGTATGTTGGCTTCTTTACCTTTACCTGACCATGAGTAGCTGAAATAATTCCAGTCACATCCACACCAAATAAAAGACTTAAATCAAGGTAGAAGTCCTTTTACTTGCATGCAGTTTGGCTACTCTACCCACCTCTGGTAATATGTAAGCTAATTCCTTGATGTTAAATCTTGAAAATGTTTTAAGTAGGTATCAGTATGGAATGCCTCAAAATGAAACTGTGGCTTACTGGTAAAACGTGTCGTGCAGGAAACCAATTGGGAAATCTAAGGCACATAAAATAACATAAAGACAGCTGTCTGAAATGGTTCCAGCTGTCTGAAACAAAGGAGTGGTGGAGGAGTGTGAAAATAAACAAGATTACTTGTCTCACGTTGTTTTTGTTTACCCTGCATGTGGATGTCATGGGTGAGGGGAGGCGAGCAATGTGGAAGTGTTCAGGGCGGGACTCTTACTATAAAGGATGTCTTTACTGTACATTGTATGCTACAAAAAATATTTAAAAAAAATACTCATTCTGAACACGTACTGTCACATATCTAGACAACATCTCTTACTAAGTGAAAAAATGCTTAGCGCAAAACAACTTCACCCTATGTGCTGTGCCTTTTTATCTTATCTTACTTGATTAGGGCCCGAGCACGAACCGTGCGAGGTCCCTATTGAAACTGTAAGGATTATTCATAATTATTTTTTAGAGTTCAAAAGCTATTCCGGTATATGCAACTTTATCTTTTTATTCATTAAAACATAATTGTCTTTGTTTAGGTGTGGCAGGAACCTAACTGCCTGCTGGTATATCTTGAAAATATTTGAAGTAGGTGTGTATCAAAATGACGTGCGAAAAAATGAAACTGTGGCTTACAGTTCCAGTCAACCTCATTTGTTTTAACCATGACCATAATCTTTCCTTAACCTAAACCACAGAATTTGAGAGGCATAAGAAATTTCACATATATATATGTCTTATGTGATATATTTAGCACAGTCTAATAACATTGTTTTATTTTTGTTGTGCAATTTTCATAGTTTATGTGTTATGAATATATGTTATGTTGCATTATTGTATGTGGGTCACATAAATTACAGTGACTGAGATTATAAATCTAAATTGAATTTAACAAAGCAAACAGTGGCCAGTCATTTTGTGGTGTTGGTGGACTCGATTTTGTTGGCTGCAGAGTTGTCGCTGTAGTGGGCTTGGGAGTGCCCATTCAGAGAAGCCAACCCCATTCCTTCACAAAAGGAGCTACTTTTGGCAGCTAAATCAAAATTTATTATAGGAGACAAGAAGAAAGTCATTTTTTTTTTTAAACAATCTTTACTTACTGGCGTACTTAACAAACTATGATATTAATGTAGTATTTTGTGGTCGCACTTAATCGATACACGCTGGGAGTATTGTCCCGGTGTATAGGCTATATGGCAGGTTACCTAATCCAGAAATGATTACTGAGATGATTAGAGGGGGGCGGGCGTGGCTACCCTGGCTTGGGGGCCCGCTCTGGACCTAGGGGTCTGGGGACTCGGGCTTCTGGCTTTTGCTCGTTTATGGGCGGGTGGTATGTCCCTGGGTCTGGGGGCCCGTTGTCTCCTCTCTTCGCCTGGGCCCCCCTTGAGGCTCCCGCTGCTTCCCCCTGCCAGCTCTCTCACAGTGGGGGAATTCGGGAGTCCCTGGGGCACATGGCCGGTGTTGTCAGGGTGGGTTTTGATCCTCTTCCTTGGGGGTGGTTGACTGGGGGGGCTGGGTTGGTGGTGGCATGCAGCTGAGCTAGTTGATTTTGCCTCGTTGCTGGTTTGGCTGGCGTTGCACGGCAGCCTGGGGGCGTGCTGTGCATGGGGGATGTCGGCTGGCGGCCTTAGTTTTTCCGGCAGTTGGACGACTTTTATTGGTGGGTTCACGGTGGCCTGCGTAGCATGGCTAAATTAGTTATGAATTTTAATAAATTTATGAGACTTAATACCCAATTATGAATTTTAATATTCATAAAATCAAACAAATATTCCTTGTTTCGGGGGAACCACCAGAGTTGTTATAAGTTAATCCTAGAGTCTCCGGACCTCTAGGTAGCTTTTAATAATTATACAATTATTAATAGTGATCAGTTAGTTAATAATCGCTAAATTATCTTAAATTAATCAGTCAGTCACATATCTAAGGGGTCAATTCTCTTGGCAGGGACGTGGAAATAGGCAACACACACAGTTCTTTGATTACAGTGAATTTATTAACTAACATTAACTAAAGCGATATAAACGGGTGGTTAAATACAGGGAAAATAAACAATGGCTGAACAATGAGAAATGGAGGTTCGATTGTGGGAAGCATTTGACTCATACGGCAGAGGAGAACTAATGAAAGTAAGCTATGAGTTTAGGAGTTAAAAGGAAATATTAACATTACGGGACATCCCTGACTACAGAATGTTGGTTAGGTCTTACGGCTTGTCGACGGCCTACTTTGGCCTGTTGCACGGGTCCCACGCTAGCTGCCCGATCCTGGCTTTTTGCTAGGGATTCTCCGGGTTTCTCCGTGTCTGAAGAAAATGCCGTCCTCCGTCTGGCAATTCGGCTGTTTTCAGTTTTCCTTCAATACTGCTGGCGAGACCACGTGGCTTGGTCTGACCTCGGTGAAGTTGGCTCGACGAACAAGCTTAAAAGGAAACTTGGTCGTTCCTGAATTAGTCGTGCCGAAGCGTCCAGAGATCAGAGTGGAAGACCAGGGCACGAGGGGAAGAGCAGAGCAGAGAGCGAACAACGTCGCGTGTCGCTCTTTTGTTGCCTGGGGCGTGGTTCCCCAGAGGACGTTTCCAGTATCCCAAGGGACTGTCTTTCTAAACTTTAATGTCCAAAAGAAAAGAAATCTATTTGCGCGTATTATAATCAAACCAATCAAACCTCAATGGTCAAACGGTTGTACCGTTCTAAGTTAAGCATTTGGTAACAGGAAAACAATTGTCACATTATTGGTCAGGATAAGTGGGTGACATTTATACATTAACGGCATTTCCGATGATGGTATGTAATACTTATTTCGTCCACTTGGGGGAGCTCAGGTTACATGAGGAAAGCTTAGATTCATCCAAGACAATCTTTCCTTAGTAAATGGGGAATTCAGCCTTTAATTCAAGCTGGATAATTAATAGAGTATAGTATGACATTTCTTTATCCTCATTTCTAAAGGAATTTTGTGAGAAAGTATTGTGAACAAGCATTGGTTACACATAAGATGACGTGTCCTTAATCTTGCTGAAAATAAAAACACTGCAAAAGTAACTTATTTAGATTCTTTTCAGCACTAATATCAACAACAGATAGCAACAACATGGTAACATAACTACTCAAATAGAGGCAAACCTAATCAAGTAACTAAAGATTTAATTAAACTTAATTAAATGCTTTGAGTCTTTGGAGACTGCAGTCTTTGGTTATTTAAAGTTCGGCTGTCCTGGGTTATGTCACACTTAGGTGAGACAAGGAGTATCCCTTTGATGGGGTAATGAAACACAGAGCAAGGTCAGTTGCCACAGTAACGTGTGAGGGGCAGTTTAGGATTTCCTGCCTTTCCAAGGAGATTCTGATAGACTGTTCTGTTAATGTCCCTTTGTCAGTTTAACAGTCAGGCACCGCATTATCAGCTTTGTAGATCAAAAAGGTGCCAGTTTTATGGTCAGGGATAGCACTTAGAGAAGGCAACTTTTCCATCCCCTTTCTGTTGGATTCTCTTTAGCACTCTTTAGCATTAAACAACTTTATTCCCGCACAAAAATGCACGTCATTTAATTAGAATATCATCAAAAAGTTGATTTATTTTAGTAATTCCATTCAAAAAGTGAAACTTGTATAATGTATACATTCATTCCGCACAGACTGATATATTTCAAGTGTTCATTCCTTTTAATTTTGATGATTATAATTGACAACTAATGAAAACCCCAAAAATAGAATATTGTGAAAAGGTTTAATGTTGAAGACACCTGGTGCCACACTCTAATCAGTTGATTAACTCAAAACACCTGCAGAGGCCTTTAAATGGTCTCTCAGTCTAGTTCTGTAGGTTACACAATCATGGGGAAGACTGCTGACTTGACAGCTGAGGCAAAGGGAAGGAAAAGATGTGGTAGAAAAAGTGTACAAGCAATAGGGATAACCGCACCCTGGAGAGGATTGTGAAACAAAACCCATTCAAAAATGTGGGGGAGATTCACAAAGATTTGACTGCAGCTGGAGTCAGTGTTTCAAGAACCACCACGCACAGACATATGCAAGACATGGGTTTCAGCTGTCGCATTCCTTGTGTCAAGCCACTCTTGAACAAGACACAGCGTCAGAAGTGTCTCGCCAGGGCTAAAGACAAAAAGGACTGGACTGCTGCTGAGTGGTCCAAAGTTATGTTCTCTGATCAAAGTAAATTTTGCATTTCCTTTTGAAATCAAGGTCCCAGAGTCTGGAAAGGCACAAAATCCATGTTGCTTGAAGTCCAGTGTAAAGGGACTTGGCACCTGCATACAGTGCCAAAGCTACCTGTACCTGGTTTAAGGACCATGGTATCCTTGTTCTTAATTAGCCAGCAAACTCGCCTGACCTTAACCCTATAGAAAATCTATGGGGTATTAGGAAGAGGAAGATGCGATACGCCAGACCCAACAATGCAGAAGAGCTGAAGGCCACGATCAGAGCAACCTGGGCTCTCATAACACCTAAGCAGTGTCACAGACTGATCGACTCCATGCCACGCCGCATTGCTGATCATCTCAGGCAAAAGGAGCTCCAACTAAGTATTGAGTGCTGTACATGCTCATACTTTTCATGTTCATACTTTTCAATTGGCCAACATTTCTAAAAATCCTTTTTTTGTATTGGTCTTAAGTAATATTCTAATTTTCGGGGATACTGAATTTGGGATTTTCATTAGTTGTCAGTTTTAATCATCACAATTAAATGAAATAAACATTTGAAATATATCAGTCTGTGTGGAATGAATGTATACATTATACAAGTTTCACTTTTTGAATGGAATTACTCAAATAAATCAACTTTTTGATGATATTCTAATTATATGACCAGCACCTGTACAGTTATGAGTTTTCGCTTTTTGGCAGCAAAATGCATTATGGGATACCTGGCTATCCGAAGTCCACACAAGTCACCACCGATGTAGGCTCGGGCTGTTTCTCAATCTGCGTTCTTGTCTGTACTTGTGTTCTTGTGGACTTTTGAAACGTCATCAGTCGCAGCCAAAGTACTGTTACAATTCAAAAGTCTGCATCTAGCCAAGTACAGTCAAATACCCGGAGGTATTCTCGCTCCGCCCGCTTTGACCTTTTATAGTCTATGGTTTTACCGAGGCCAATGGCCATGCTCCTGAGTTGGGTAACGTTAAAGTAATATTTGTCTAGGTTTTCCAACTGCATATTTTAACCTGTGAGGCCCTGCTTACATTCAAGATTCAAGCCCTTTTCTGTTATTGTGTAGCACAGATTACTTTTGTAACAACTCAAAGGTGCATTAAAATTATCAATAAAAATAACTTTAGGTCAAGTAATACCAGTTCAACAGTAAATTTAACATAAGAGAAAAATATTGAATATACAATAAGAGTTAACTTGACTGTTCAACTGGTGTCCAGCAGCAAGATTAATATTGCACATATGAGTAAATAGTGGATTGCACTTTGCTATAATTACTTTTACATGCCAGAGAGGTTTTCATGCTGAGGCAATCTCAGAGTTCATTAGGTTTATGGCAGTTGGGTAGAGGATGTAACTAACGTTCTACCATTGTTGTGTTTACAGGTGCCAGATGAGCTGATGGCAGCATCATACCAGATGTGAAGCACCAGAGTCCAGCTCTACAGAAGTCCCAGCTTCTAGCGTGGCCCTGCCCGATCCTGAAGCTCACTGCTTTGCTCAGCCTTGTTTGTACTTTTACTCCACAACACCTGAACTCAACTGATTTCAAATTATGACAGTGGGTTCCTATACAAAGGTTCTCATATTATATTTTACTGTTACAACATATTACTTCAAGTCATACAAAACAACTTTTACATTTGTAAACTTTTAATATTGATGTTTCCATGAATGCAAAATATGATTTAAACTGTTGATTTTGTATTAGAAATCATTTGTTATTTAAAATTTATCAGACAAGATTTGTTTAAAATAAAATCACATTCTTCATTCATCACTTTCAAAAGTTATTGAATATATTGTGATATGAACTTAACAAAATAGTTTACAGTTGTACATGAAAATATTAAGATTGGATTATAAGTTAACATTTTGCATATGTCAGTAAAAAATTAAAAGCTGATGTTATATATTTGTATTATTTGGACATTTCATGAAGAGATGAATTTGACATTCATAGAGAAGTTACTCTATTGTGAAAACCAAAGAATTATCTGCACACTGAATAGTTTTGAAGCCCAGTAGAAGGTGTTGTGGGCACAGGTATTAGGAGGCTTACATTGTAGAGATGCACCTATTTACCACAGGTGCATTAGATCAGCTCTGAGACCTCAGAGTTTGCATGGTCACAATTAATGATACCACCTAGTTGGATTCATTATAACTCTATGCAGGTCATTCTTTGTTTTTTATCACTTATCCACAGGTTGATTTGGATGTGTGCACATTTTTCTGTGTTAAAACTAGACTTAAAACAGAGCAGCCAACAAGGCACTCTTCAAAAACTATTCAGGCTCTGGTAGTGTAAGACTCCTTATTTATCTTAAAGTATAGGGTAGAAAGTGAAAATACTCCTGTACACACAGAAATACACAGCATAATTATTATTCAACATTTCATTTGAACCATGAAACATTTTTGGGAGCATTTTCATTTTTCCACTTATACTAGACTTGTCTACCTTAGCAAGACTTCAGCTTGATATTTTATCTGTGTTGTATAATTAACTTGTCCTTGAAATTGACAGACATAATCTGAAATCTAACATTTTCAGTCAGCAGTAAAGACAAAATTAGTGCAAATATATATACAATTTATTGCAATGTGAACCATAATTTATATATATATTTTTAAATGTGCATAGAAACACATATGGACAATATATAAAACTAAATGTAAAGGTGAATACATCAGTCCATGCCATCAGATATAGACGTCCAGCACACTGAAGATGCGTTCCAGGTCTCTGCAGCTCTCTGGCAACAGGTGGGACATCTGATCCACACTATGGAAGGAAAATAAATGAGTAATAAATGTTGCAGGTAATGTAAAATATAAACTTAACTATAAAAGATGCCTCACTGTGGTGACTATTATGTCACATATTTGGGAGAAAATGGAACAAGGGAGAAACACCTCAATATATAGATGTCAGTCAATAACAATAGTCAACAATATGTTTTTGTGTTGTCCTTGGAAGACAGACAATATTATATCAGCTGTCAAATGTCAAGTAGCCATCACAATTAATGCTGATCCATGGTAACGTTAACTGTTAACATTATTCTCCACATAATGTAGTGTGGCAAATTCCCACATTTAGATATTAAAAAACATTGAAGCATTGTAAACATTGTGTAGTATAAGCTAAATAACAGAGATAACGTACTTGTTACTATAAGTGTTGTGGTATAGTTTCAGGTTAACTTACCTCCAAGCTGGTAACGATGCGGCCACAGGCCGCCAATCAGACAAGCCTCTGTTTTCATTTATGCAAAGAGAAACTCAAAATTCAGGTGGCAGGTGGCAATTCAAAATCTAAAAATCAACAGAACTTAAGTCAGTGCAGCTCTCAGTCATTCTGTGTTGCTTTCAGATTTCTCAGTTTCTCCTGTAGATCAACTTTCTCATGTTATATCATCCCTGCTGAGTCAGCACACATGCAGATGAAAAAACAGTCCATTTTTTTATTTAGATTTGACCAGGGTTCTGAAAAGTAAAAACAAAAAAAACCCCCGATGCGCTGAATTTCAGATAGTAAAAGTGAGTGGGTTATAGTGATTGCTTTTATTTTATTGGATTTTCCTGTGTGCATATCTCTGGGTATATGCTCATGTATAGCCATTTAGGCAACATCTACATATTTATTACAGACAATAAATGCAGAAAGTTTAGTTGCACAGAATATAGCAAATAGGATACATTTTATGAAATAATTTGGTTTAGGCTTTGCCTTGGTGCCTAGACCTGCCAAATGATGAATGTTATTAGACGAAAACAAAACAGCCCACATTTCCTTAGTAGACCACTACTGGCCTGCAGACCTCGACAGACCTGTACCTAGTGCCCAACCACAGCAGGGATTTAAATTATGAAGCAGAGGAAACAACCAGATGGATTATTTTAAGCCAAGAAATACAAATTATATTTGTATTATTCTGTAGTATTTATCAACATTCTTGCATCTCTTTGTTGAGTACTTGTCTGCACTGTAAAAAATATAATCTAAATCTAATGATTATTTTTCTTATTATTATTTGGGGAGCCTTAGGACCACGTTAGGGTGGCTTCAGGCCCCCTAAAATATGCCTAATATGTCAACAGATAATCAACAATGAAAACGATCATTTGTAACAGCCGTACTGCCCAACAGAAAAAAATAGCATTAAATGTTCTGGCAGTACCAAGCTTTTCACATTTTGCATTCTAACAATTGATAAACCCATTCAAACTTAAAAAGGAAGAAACAAAGTCATATCTTATTAACATTTACTTAATATATTTACCTTTCAAGTTGAAAACGATTGACAGCAGTGATTTTGTCACATTCTGCCTGTTGGCTACATTAAGTTGAGCACTCTGAGTTTTTGGCCAGTTGGGTTTCCGTTATCCTAGTCTGTTGTCTGAGTTTGTCTGTGTTGTCCTATTTATTGTCTCCCTTATATACACTCTGTGTTATTAGTTCGTTCCCTGTTTGTTTTGTTGCTTACACCTTGCGTTAGACTCCCTGTGGTGAAGAAAGTATGCCTACAGGACAAATATTTTGGCTGTTATATGTGAATACGAATCCAGTGTAAGTACATATCAAGCTTTAACTGTGTACTGAGCTAGGGATAAGTAAAGGAATAGTTACTGTTAAATGTTTGTCTATATTAACCTCACATATTATTAGAAAAGTGTTTATTGTAAAAAAGGTAAACATGTAATTTATTTTAACATCCAGCTGTTAGAGTACAGTACAGTCTTTTTATTTCTCCCACTGTGTTCATTTAGCCTTGTGTTAAAACCATGGTTAAAACAAATAACATCAAGGGTGAGTCAGACCGCCAGAAGAAAATAGGCCTACATGTTAGGTTACTATAATAACCAGAACATACAACAGTAACAAAAACAATAAAAAATTTTAATGTTTTTAACAACTTTGGAAAAGTAACACAAGTACTAACAGGGAAAACATCTTGTCCCTACTCCTGCAGGCTGCACTTCAACGGCAGTATTTACAGTTAAATGCCCACACCCCTGTAGTCCTCCTCTATATGGGAGAGGGAGACTTGAAGAAGCACACAAGGAAGACTACCTGAACAGGTAACCTGTATTCAAATAACCAATTCACACAGATTAAATGGCATGCTTTAATCCCGGTCAATGTCAACACTTAGTGACTACATTTTTATTCCTTAACAGGAAGCTTTTCCACTCAATTCAGCTGCAGGTGATCTGTGATCACAAAGGTCGCTTCCTGAACACATTTCCAGGTGTGGATGGGATTCAGTATTTTAACAGGTTGATACAATACCTCTTGGGTTCTTAAGATTTGGAAAGTATTTTTCATCCAAAAGAAACAATACATTTGCCTGTTTTGGGTATTTATGGTTACTTTTTATAGTAAATTGTGTTGTTATTTTATATAAATTCCATAATCCTAAATTTTTAAGTCTTTATTTCACAATGACCATTCACAGGCCTACCCGGTGCAGTCCATGATGCACGCGTCCTGCGGATGAGCTCCATTTACGTTCAGCAGCTCTACCCGCCGCCTGGTTGGTTTATCATTGGGGACGGAGGTTATCCATGCCTCGCCGCAACCTTCAGCATGATGATGTACAGTGAGCTGGTGCAAAAACCAGTTCAGGCAAGGTACAACTGACATCACTCCAAAGCCAGATGTGTGGTGGAGAGGGCTATTGGGATGATGAATACCCGGTGGCGCAGCATCTTCCTCAAGGCTCTTCAGGTAAACGAGAGCACAAGATGTGTAAATGTAAATACAATGAGCAGCAGGTTCGGAAATAAGCAGCAAGGAAGAACATTATTAGATTACTAACAACAAATTCAAAGATTTATATAGCATTCATTTTCTCTTCTCTCCAACCACTCTCTCCACTCTCTCCCTCTTCTCCTCTCTGTCCAGACACTCTCTCCCTCTTCTCCTCTCTCTCCAGCTGCTCCCTCTCTTTCCTCTCCTCTCTCTCCAGTGCCCCTCTCTCTCTCTTCTTTCTTCTCTCTCCAGACAAATCTTCTCTCTCTCTCTTCATCCCTCTCTGTTACTTGTTTTAGGATCTGCACCCACTCTGGCTGTCTCTTTCTCTTTGTGCTGGTTTCAGCATCAGATTGGGGTTCCCTGGGTGAGGGATGAGAGACCACCACCACATCCTGGTCGGACAAGTCAATAACGACCAGAGGCATAATGCTGGGCCTCCGGCCCAGTGCCTCGTCCATTAGTTTGTACCACTTCCAGGATGGACTCCTGTACAATACACATACAAAAAACACATCCCAGGCATGACAACTGTACTATTGCTCTGTTTCTGTAATAATAATAATAATAATAATAATCTTTATTTGTAGAGCACTTTTCAAAAACAAGTTACAAAGTGCTTTAACAAGTGTAAAGACAATAATACCCAAGAGACAATAATACAAAAACAATACAAGATAAAAGCATGAAAACATTGAAAAGACTAAATTACACGTTTAAGATAAATATAAAATTAGTAAAATACAATAAAATAAAAGTGATAAAATAAAGTCAAATAAGATCGGGAAAGGCTCTCCTATAAAAGTATGTTTTAAGAAGGGACTTAAAAGAGTTCACTGATTTCCTCGGGCAGGCTGTTCCAGAGCCTCGGGTCCCTGAGAGCAAACGCTCTGTCCCTTTTAGTTTTCAGTCAAGACTCTCGAACTGTACTCTCAGCAATAAAGCAATGGCATTGTAGAAGGGTCTCATAAAGATTTAGATTTAGCTTAATAACTCGCCTTGTACTTCTGTTTTAAATTCTCCCATTTTCGCTTAACCTTGGTGGGCTCAATTTTGCCCACCAAAGACTGCTCCCTGACGAACTCTCTGTCAAGAAACAGTAATACAACAGTAATTATTTTCATGAAAACACAAAGAACCCCCAATATGTTATGTTATCATAACTCTTTGAATATCTACCTGATTAGCAAGTTTAACGTAGGCTACTTAATTACCGTAACTTCTTAAAAGCATAACGTTAACTTGAGTTAACTTACTCAAATCCCTTGTGGGCCGCATTCCACTGCCCACTGAAAATTGCTTTGTTGGCGGTTCGCCATCGGATCAGGGCATCTGTGTCCTCATCTGTCCCTAATAACCAAAATCATATCGTGTTGTTTCCGCACAGCCGGCTAAGGTTTAACAATAACACTGCTGTCTTCAGTAACATTAAACGTTAGCTTAACGTTAGCAGGCTTAGCATAAACGTTATGGGTTTGTTACGGTAGTACTATAAACGTTTGTTACAGATCCGCTTTCACAATTGTGAATTGTTCTCCTAACATATAAGACAAATGTTAGAAGTGGTACTTACATTTATATCCTTCTCTATCGACCACTGGAGTGTTGGTACCCCCGCCATTATTCCCGGTTATGATTGTTGTAGCGGTTGCATTATGGGCCACAGTATGCGAGGTAGACTGGTCCGATGCATACTGGAGATTTTTTCCGAATCAGTACGCCATCCGGGTATTTTTGGCATACTGCAGATTTTGCTTTTGTTTGCATACTGCATACTACATACTACATTTAGACCAAATCAGTACATACTACTAGTATAGTAGGCGGTTTCAAATACAGCCCATGTTGTGTTTTCTGTTTTTCCTTGTTTGTTCCATGGTTCATTTGCATGTTCTGTTTTGCTCTCTTAGCACCTTTCCTGTCATGTATCTTAGGTTTAGTTCTGCATTTTAGTTCTGTGTCTTATGTCTGTGTTTAGTATCCAGTACCTAGGTTATATCTGTTCCCCCAGTTGCCTTTCTGCCTCCCTGCCTCTCTGTTTTCCCTGCTGTCTCTCTGCCTGCCTGCTTCGTTAGCCTTGATCCCTGACACCTGTGTTGCTCCTGCCCTGCTCGTCAGTCCCTGGTGTATATATGTTTGGTTTTTCTGTTCAGTCCCCGTCTGGTCATTGTCATATGATAAGTGTTCTGCCTGTTTCTGCGCTACCAGGTCTGTACTTCGGATTTTGCCTGTTTCCACTAGTGATGGCGAGATGAAGCTTCATGAAGCATTGAAGCTTTCCATCCAGTTGGTTCAGTCATGGGCCGAAGCTTCACGGTGCTTCATTTGCTCTAGTGTACCATCAAGTGGACAATAGGTGTCAAGGTGATTATAACGGCACCACGGCTTTGGTGTATGAAGCTTTGAATTAATAATGAATGATGTTTGTGATGCCAATACATAACTGATTAACTTATTAATAAAGTGTCTGTCTTTATGATACAATGACATGGTCAAAAGGAAAGTGGAAACAAGGGAGAGGGTTATGATGACTTGGTTTGTGACTATATATAACAGAGACAACATTTTATTCATCTTTATTTAAAAATAACTTTTCCACAGTGTTGGGCTTCAGGCGGTTTCTTTTTTTGGGGGGAATTTTCACCTGCCGTAGAAAATTATTATTAGGGATATGGAGTAAGAGTTTAATTTTTACCAAAACCACAAAATGTCAACACTTTCTTACTTAACTAAAATTTTCTTATTTTTCATCATAATTTAGTTATTTGATTAAAGCAGTTCTGACATACGTTGATAAACTTTTTTTAGTCATTTAAAATAAGCTATAGATAAAATTTAATTGTGTTCAATTTAAAGTTCAAAAGTCCACAAAATGTTGAGGAGGGTCCATTGCATTTTGCTGCTCCTTTCGAATCACACGCCAAACTCGCGAACCATCTCCTGAATCGGTCACGTGGTACGGTTGGCTCACGAGGCTTCAAACGTCACCACTTACGTAACCAACACAAGCCTCGATACGCGCTTCACAAAAATCATCCTGGATTACTCGACACACGCTTCGAAGCCTCGATACGGACGGACACATCACTAGTTTCCACTACCCGTGAGTTTTGTTCATGCCTGGTGCGTTCCTGAAATGTATGTCCGCTTTCCAGTGTTGTGCATTTTGGCTCTCTCCTGCTTTGCATTCACCAAACCCTGAAAGTTTATTCATGTTTCATTTAGCTCAACTAAAATAATTGATACAGGAAGTGAGAAGAAATGTGAAACAAAAACAAATAAATGCAACAGTAAATGATTGAATGACAGATAAGATAGCGAGTAACAGGTTTACTCAAGCAAGCTTCTCCACTTTGTTTTGTTGAATCATGGTATGTGGGCAGATTGTGCGCCCAGATTCATGTTAGGTCTCTGCAGAGGAAAACACAGTTCAATTTATAAGGCCTAAATAAACCTATAATCTTAATATTGACACTTTAGGATGAAAAGCAAGTGACGTGATCAAGCTACTGTCCTCTGATTAAAAATATGGTGGGGTATATATTCATCACTGCAGAGTTGTTGCAGTCAGCAAAATGACAAGCAAGGTCATCAAGGAGGTTTCCTCATTTTGTCTGCAAGAGAACAACCAAAACGTAAGCTAAATTCTATTTATGCATCTAGAGGAATCCTGTTATTAAACGTTAGAGTACATTTACATACCCTGTATAGACCAGGCACAGGAGGCAGAGGTCCAAGTGAGAGCATTATACTGTCATGGTAGGATACGTCCCTCTGAACTCTGTGCTGACTGGAATTGCAATTCTGAAGAAGAACAACATTACAGGGTTTTATTGAGGCAATCATTTAGACTGACTTGCAGACAGCGATCAATTAAAAGCACTGCAGCACAAAACAAGGCACAAACCAGATCACCAACTGAACTTTCTGCTTTTGGAGCACAGGATTTAACCAATCTCAGTACAAAAGCATACAAACACAATGTTATGCGTCTTAAGTCCAGAGAAATGCAGGTTGACCACAGATGTTAAAGTGATTCTAAATGGATCTGCTTGCATGGGTCCTGTAGCTGTCGCAATAAAAGGTAGCCTACTTGTTTACTGTGTCATTATGTTCAGAATGATGTTTTTTCAAGTGTAATTTGGTTTGTCTAAAGTAATAGTGACACCTACTGTTCAACTTGTGAATTACACCAAATGAAGCGCACGCTGGGCTCATATGATCAATTAAGAATAATTGATCTTCAAGTTTCTATCAGAAGCAAAAAGGGAAGAAAAGAGAGTGACTGTGTTGCCACATTGGAGGATTGTGATGGCTCCTAAATTTCTGTGCAGAAGGCGCACATGGGATGTCATTATTTTATTTTGAACTGATAATATTTTGTGTTTATATTTCATACTGAAAGTGATTGTGTTTGTAATTATTTTATTTCAGTTTTTCACGGTGTTTGCTGGTCAAAAGAAGATTATTTGTGAAAAGGAACAAATAAATACTGGCCAAACATCAGTTGGAGCATGGCTTATCTGTATCAGAAGAAAAGCTTGGGAGCAGTTATAGGTCCTATACTCACTGAATAGAAGATACAGTAAGCTTCTTCCTCCAGATATATGATTACACAGCCAGTTTAAGAAATGTGTAAGTGGGAGGATGGATGGTTAATGGTACATACAGTTATGCAGTTCTTGTGGCTCAGAAGACACAGGTGGACCTGGCAGTGTAGGTAGATGGATGGAAAATTGGTAAAGGTGAAAATATTGAATGAGAATCGGGCCACAGTGGAATTGCCATTCTGAACCAGCTCTACTGTATCATCTTCTGGATTAGGACACCTGAAAGACAGGGAAGGTGGTAGAAGTTACAGTGTTACCAGGGTAAAAGAGTCAAGGTGAAGAACAAAAATTAGGTTAAACAAGAAGAGAGAGGCAAGAATCTGGCAATAATTGAATCTTGACTTAATTCATCCACTGTTCAGTGTTATAACACAAGGGGAAATTGCTAATCGCTCCTTTACTTAGTCATAATGAGATCCCAGCGGACAGGGTAGCTGGCATTGTTGACTGGTGTGGCCCAGCAAGAGTCCAGAACAGTGGAGATCTGTCGCTCATCGACTCCTTCTGTCCGCACCTCCACATACAACCTCTGGTCAATTTCCATTTCTATGTTCCTGTCACTGGTCAGGGGGAAGTGGAAGCCAGCGTCCTGGTAGGGGATAATTCTAATATGATAATGGCCCCGGCCAGATGGAAGCTTCCTCTTTCTAATGCTACAAAAAAACAACACATAATGTGACTTAACTTGAGAAGGAGTAATTCTGTGTATTTTTGGTCATTAATACAATATGTACAGAAAACTACCGGAAAGAATCTTAGACCTTTCACATACAGAACAAGAACAAACAAAGAAATCCGCGAAATAATGCTTCCATTATGTACTCTGATAGTGGCCAATATTTGTTCCTATGTAAATCAATCTTCAAATCAAAGATTATTTATGCACAGTGTGTGGAGAAATGTAACAGTAGTATGACTGTCAGCAGAGCACAAAAACTTTAAAGGTTCAGTGTGTAAGTTTTAGTGGCATCTAGTGGTGATGGTTGCGAATTGCAACCAGCCCATCATGGTGTATTCACGTGCTCCTCGGACGGTTCCATCTGCCACACACACATAAGCTGAAGTGCACCGATGCTTCCTACCTTATGGTTATGATTAAAATTTTGTATTTATTCACGCTCTTTAAAAAGATTTATTAAAACCTTTTTTTTTCACATTTTTATTTACAGCACTATATGTTGAAATTTATATCATAATAGGCTGTATATTAAGTTGGGAGAAAACCGGTAGTTATATGTAAAATGAGACGTTGAGCTCACCCATATAGCAAAAATGGTATGATCCTACTTTCATAACGCAGCTGCGAACGAAGATTCGACTGAGATTGGCAGTCAAATCAGGCTCCACCCATTGAAGCATTGAATCTTCGGGGTCAGCCCTAGTATATTATATTACATTTCTGTCAATAGATCCTCCTAAATATTACATACTGAACCTTTAAAAGCAGTTTGGGGGTTGATACTGCATTTAGGCGCCTTCCCCTGGTTTGGATACATCACTATCAACAGATGTTCACCATAGAAAGAACTTAAATGTAGATGTATGTGCTCTGGTAAAAATATACAGCAATTCTTAGGAGATACTGTGACCTCTCTACAGGGTTGATGCCTAGGTCCATAGACAGGGCCTGGGTCAGAGGGTATTCACAGCCGAAGACCAGGTGAATGTTTAGGCCTTCATCACCCATGATGGTGTTCTCGTAGGTGAAGTGGGTCCCATTGCTCTTTAAGATTTAGATGATTTAAAAGGTATAATTAGAACATTACAGATGCAATCTATCCTGTGAACATTTACATCTAAATTATTCGTCTCTCTACATGGACAACATTGTTGGCCATGGACTGTACCCTGAGAACTGTCCCGCACAGCTGGTCATCATTGTTAAAGTGGAACACCAGTCGTCCGTCCTGGAGTATCCCTTTACAGGAGGGATCTCGGAGATGGAGGGCACTAGGATGGAAGCCAGTTTCAAACAGCTGGCAGCGTGACAGGGATATTGTGCCTGAACTACTGACACAAGTGACTGACGAGTCTAAGAAAAAAGTTGAAAATAGATTTTGGTATAGCAAATCCCCTGAGTGGACTATGAAAAACTTATTGAATATTGTCATTTATACCATAACCATTCTCACTTCAGTGATCTAAAACAGTTTTTTAAGAGGAGCTGTCCTCACCGTAGCTCTGATTGTTGGGCCGAGAATAGTGTTCATCACAGAAGCAGCCGTAAACATCTTTCTTACCACACCACTCATACTCTGTACAGTTCAGTTGTTCACAGGGATCCGAGTCAGCTGGAGAAGCAGTGGGGAAAGAATGAGACAAGGAGTGATGAAACAGAATGAGCAGCTGAAAGAGAAAATCAATCTATTAGGGAATCATCACATTTCTCATTCATTATCTTGGCTTTCCATTAGCCCAGTGCAAACATACCACATTGCAAAGCTGAGCGCCACTCAGGGATGTTCAGTCCCAAAACAGAGCAGGTTTTCTCATAGGCTGAGACAGCAGAACACAGCATGCCATTGGCTGGAGTGTAGTGGCAGAGATCGTAGACACAGGAACTGAAAAATGGCCTGGGGTCAGAGTGCAGGTGACAGCCCCTGAATGGACCGCTGGTGTTGGTGATGACACTACAGAGCTCAGAGTATTCTTCAATAAAGGGACAGACGACAATTCGCTCATCTGTAGATCCACATCTGGAAAATACATTTAAGGATACACACTTAGCAGTTTGAATTGAATAGTTTACCACAGCTGTTGAGTCACAGTGCTGTATCAGTGGTTAATTGTGAAACACTGAAATGTATTTTTTTTTTTTTTTTTTACAGGTTTTACAGGTCCATGCTCATGTTTAATAAATATACTCTCATTTGTGCATTGAGGAATTTCTAAAGGACCTTAAATTGTACAAATTAACCCAAACCCTCTCATTAAAGAAATCGTTTGAGATCCCCAGTTTTAGATACCATATTATCATTTATTAGTATTAAACAATACAGTGTAACTGCTGTGATTACCCTGGTTGGCTTGTGAGTGCCCTCCAGCTGTGTCCAAAGTCATTATCATTTTGTGCCAATGTGCCATTGGGCAAGACTTTGTCATCTGCAGGGTCACGGTTGAAGTTTCCACACATCCCGGTGACTCTATTTTCACGGTTTGGGCCAATTCTCACCAGCAACGTACTCTGACCATCAAACTGGACCACCAAGTCAATGGCATTGACTATAATATAGCTTCCCTGCTGTACTACCTGAGCTAAGGTTCCTGCAGCGGTGGGAAGAGACACCTCACGCCCATTTACCTGGAGGGATGGGAGATTAGAGAGAGAAGGACAAAAGGTGAGGAGCAGGGCCATAACCAGGATTTAGAGATTAGTGAGGTCCAGATTTTTTGTTTCTTTATTAGAGCTTATTTACAATAATTCAGTGAAAGCTTGAACCACTGTGTTTGGGTGAAGAACACACTAACTACATCATGGTCTTTCTGCTTCACTTCTTCTTGCATAAAATAAGAGTTATGATCAGGTAGTGCAAATGTGACAGGGAAATCTTGGTATAGGCCTACTAATCTTCACAACATGCATTAGGGGTGTAACGGACCACACAAATGCAGCGTACAACTGTCACCACAGGGTTAGTGTTAGGGAGTAACTAGTTATATGTAATTTTGTTACATAATTTAAGTAACTTTAATCCATTTCAGTTACTAAGAAAAAAATGTGTATAATGTGTAATATCATGATTACATTGGAGGTTACATGTGAATATTTTCTGTAAAAAACTAGGCTATATGTTTAACAATATTTATTCTGTTGCTTTGCAGGTTTTTTATGTGTACAATGTCTTCCTTTGCCATTTTCAGTCACAGCTGTTTAGTTTAATGCTTGGTTGGATGCTGTTCTGATGCTTTTAATTGGTTCTCATGTTTGAAGTTCCTGCACCACCGCCTGCTAGATAAACTGCCTCTCAAGCTGTCTTTTAAAATTGGTTAACAGAAAAAATTCATTAGAAATATAGAAAAGTAATCAAAAAGTAATTAAATGTAACAAGTTACATTATTTTGAAAAAGTAATTGAAATAGTTGCACTACTATTACATTATCAATTGGGTAACTTGTAATTGGTAACCTATTACATTTAGAAAGTAACCTTACGAACACTGATCACAGGACTATACAGGTGGAATGACGTGTAGTCTACATAGTGGGCACTAATATAACTATATGACAAGGTAAAAAACAGCAGATCAGTGCTGAATGCTCTGGTTGATGTTACAGCCTAAAAATTTGAGGTCAGCAGCTGTTTGCACTCGTTTTATTATTTCGAATCCTCATGTACGCAAAAATTATCAAAATGCCCCCCCATTCAACAAATTATATTCTCAGATTTCCACCTTCTTGCTTTCCAGGTGATTTCTTTATTGCATGAGTGTTTTCTTTAACGATTTACTTACTTGATTAAAGAGGCTGCTGTCAGTCATTTTAAACGTGTCTATGCACACAGTAAAGTCACAGCAAATATCAAGGGACATTTAGGAAGCAAACTGCAGCTATAAACTTGACAGGACAGACAAAGGAAACTATCCAGAGGAAACATTATTTTAGCTTCTGAAAAAATTTAGATGATATAATGGAGCTCAGGATTGATCAGAGGACGGCTGCTTTAGTTGGTTAGTTTCACTGTATGAACCTGGACTGTGTGAGAGACTTTTTGGATGTGTAGAAGAACACAGAACATCAGATTCTGACCGATCCTGTTGGCGTGTTGGGAGATTTTAATAATCAATGAAGTTACACTGCTGTGCATCCTACGTAAATGTGCACAGTGTCTCCCTTAATAGAATTTTACCCTATTTCACCCACCCGCAAATTCATAACACGAATGTATCTAATACCCTTTTCCAAGGTAAACAGTATCGCCCAAAACTCTGCCTGCAAACATTGGTGCTCGCAGTTATTGTGCACATGCAATATGTATTCATGTGCTCTTTTATTGATAGGCTATAGTCTACATATAGTTACGTAGGTCTGGACATCGGTGACCTCATAGCTGGTTACTGCAATGTTGAGGAGGCACTTGTTAGCTATGTTGACACCAAACAGAAAGTTATTTAAAATAAAGTAATAAAGGATTTACCGTTACTCTTTTGTTGGGTCCAATCCTGATGTGTGCACTCTGATTTGAGAGGTATATATCCACTGACACAAGTGACACACCGTTGTAGGCACTGTGATTTTTGGTGGCTACTACCTGAAACTGGGCCTCATTGGTGCCGTGGCTCACACTCTCAGTAATAATGTAAGAGCATGTGCCCTGGAAATCAACCAGTGCCCCATCAAAAGTGATGTAGTGTGGGTCCCCCCACACAGTGCAAGTAGACATTGCATCAAAACAGCCCAGCTGGCCATTTTTAATGGTGCACTTTTGTCCAGGAGTACAAGATGCAGGAGAACAGCGCAGGTCATTTGGAGCATGGCACTCACATCTCTGGGAGCAACCTTGTGTCCAGAGGGACTCACCAGCCTGCAACATGGAAAACAGAAAAGAACACATTTTTAATAAAATGGTTATTATTGCAGCTTTTGAAAGGATTAACTGAGGTGTGACGTACTTCGTAGTAGGAGCCACGATATTGACAGCCACATCTTTCCACAGGGACACATCTGTTCCCACTCTTGACAAAGCCCTTGTCACAGAAACATCCTTCTGAACAAAACTCCCCACAGCTGGCATTAAAGCTGCTGACACAGGTGTGGCCACAGTCACTACCACACAGCTCATAATGGCTGTTGACTGGACAGTTTAGTACTTAAAAAGTGAGGGGAGAAATGGTGGCATCAGATGGTTATAATAAGTTAAGTACATTTCATAAATCTGTTATTAGACAGTCACTCAGGAGACATGTTGAGAAAAACTAGTAGATTACTGGTATGAGCTTCTATTTGAATGGGAAATGAACTGGTTGACTTACTGCAGTTGGTGTTCTGTCTCCAAGGGTAGATTCGAACATTAGCAGATTGACAGGCACTGACGTAGGCCTGGATGGCCGGGCATAGAATATAATTTCCCGAGACACAAACATCAAACACACAGCTCTTGAAATATGGCGCTGGGTCCACCTGCTCATGGCAGAAGCTTAAGGGCCCGTCGGCTGCCTGGATCACCTCACATTGGGCTCTCGCAGGCAGCTCATTGGTGCATTGTGGGCAGGAGGAACCACACCCATCACTGCAGGTGTAGTTGCCTGCCACTTTCCAAGCTTTCCCAAACTCATCTGGAGTGGTGACCATCATTCCAGATGGGGTGTGGAACTCATCATTTGGATTTCCATTGAAGTTTCCACAAAGTCCACACGTTTTTCCACTATATTGAAGACAAGCATTAAATACATCAGGGTCAAAAATATGGTTATAGATTGGAATGTGTCAAATACAATATAGATTTAACAGTATGTAAACTGAAGCATTTAAACATGGGCTACAGTAAAAAGACGATACCTGTATCTTGAAGGTAGAGAGATAGACACTGTATACCATCCATCATAAGTGACACTCAGGCCAAAATCAGCACTGACAAATGTGTGAGATCCACTTGCATAAATGGAAACACGACTTCCATTTAAGAGAATAGGCAAGTTTCTGTTTACTCCGTTCACCTTTAACATTGGAAAAACAGGAGTAGAAGAATAATCCATAATAATAGATTGGAATTTGTGTTGCTACTCTCTGGTGCTTTTCAAACTGAAATCTCCAGTTTAGATTACAAACAAATGTAGAGTCTGAGGAATAATTCAATTAAAGTGGTCATATTATGCTTTTTGGCTTTTTACCTTTCCTTTATTGTGTTTTATGCTCCTGAACTGTCTGAACGCAGCTCGGTTGTAGTCCAGCTTTTACTTCCGTAACATATCCATGTCACTTTGTAACACGTACCATAATGCTCCCCTATGAGCTTTTGTGGCAGTCCCTCAAATTCACCAGTCGAGAAACACACTGAGCTGCAGCACACCAAAGTCCTTATAGGCAAATCATGCCACTCAGCAGCCATCTTGGCAACGCCTGTGAGCAACTATTTCGGACTAACAAGACCAGCCTCCTATCTGAATGAACAGGGAAGGAGCTAGAACTGAACTTTTACTGGTCACCAGGATATAAAACCTATATGACTAGAATCATCTTAAAATCTGACAAAAATCGCTGAAAGAGTTTGACTTTGGCTGAAAGTAAGGTTTAAAAAGCATTTTTCCTGACCAGTTATGTATACTGCACATGCATCACTTCTACTAAGCATGGGCAGTAGACCCCTCACGTCAGTGGAACCACACGATTGGCTTAAATATGTTTCCTGCCTCGGCTATTAAAAGAAGATGATTGATTGAAGGCATTACGGGCTTTCCCTATAGAGTTGTATTGAGGATTCTTTATAACGTCTCTGAGCACACACAGTGACAAGAAGTCCGCCCACAGACTCCCCCGCCCCCACCCTCCCTACCAAGCTTTAGATACCCTCCAGGCAATCAATGGACATGTTGTGACTGTGATGTAGACACAGTGCACAGTTAAAATCATATATATTTCATATGAAAGATACATTTGTTACCAATTAATAACATACCACTATAAAACTCTTATTCCAGTCTAGGTTGCCAAGCTGGTTTGGGAACATGAACAACTGAACCATAGCTGTGTTTACCGGCTTGTTAGGACCCGCCCTGCTCTGCTTCTGATCGCTTAGTAGTCCCTAACTAGGTACTGAGCATGTGCAACTCCCAACAAAGAGCAAATAGATGTGAGATGCTTCACTCCGTAGCTAAAACAAAGCGTTCAACAAACAGGGGTGAAAAGAGATACTGCAACAATTTGCAGTATGACAAAAACTATGTATCCATGTAAACCTACACAAACTTTAAATGCAATTATGAACTTGAAATTGAGCAAAATTTTACCATTTTAAAAAAAGTTTACAATATAATGTTTACAATCTGTAACTCACCTGTACCACACCGTGACTCTCCCTTGACATATGCACTTGGTAGCCCCACACATTCACAAAAATTTCAGCTGTGATTGAAACTGGCAACCCGCTCCATGGCTCATTCTTAGCTTCCACTGAAAATTGGTGGAGTCCATCAGTGGCGTTACAAAGGGTTGCCAAAACATAACGGCAGGTTCCCTGGAAGTCATAGGCCTTGTGATCAAATGTGAGGTAGTGAGGGTCTCCGGAGGCAGAGCAGGTGCCCTGAGGGTTTGGATGACAGCCAAACTCACCCCCCACCACACGGCAGGACTCCTGGGGACCACAAGAGTTGGGGATACAGTGGACTGCCCCAGTAGTGCCATTACAGCTACACAAGCTCTGACATTCCTCACCATCCCAGAACTGTTCGCCACCTTGCCGATAGCGTCCTTGGTGATAGCATCCACAGGATGTTGGAGGCACACACTGGTTGCCATTGAGGACAAAACCATCATCACACTGGCACCCATCCTGGCACACAGTGTCACAGACGAAAGGGAAAGAGAGGCTGGGGCAGGCGGAAGGACAAGAGGTTCCACAGAGTTCATAATGGCTGTTTAGAGGGCAGCTTGGTGCTAGAGAAAAAGAAATTAATTCAGCAAAGTAAATTAAATTTATTGATATAAAAGCTACCCAAACCAAAAGGGGAAAGTGCTTACCACAGCCACTTGTATTCCTCCAGTGTCCTAGAGCAACGCCCTTCTTTTGACACTTTAGTGCATAATCTCGTAGGACCTCGCAAAGCGCTGATGATGGATCTCTAGAGCCTCTAATGATCTCCACACATGCATCCACATGTTGGCGTGGGTCCACCATGGCCCAACACTGGGCAAATGGCCCAAGAGGTGAGCCAAGAATGCCACAGTACCCACTTGAACTGTAATTTGTTGTAGAATTGTTATGATTCACACTTTCTACGCATTGAGCAGCGAGCGAGCCATCACGCCAGCTATCCCCAAACTCCTGAGAGCTGTTGACCAGGATGCCACTGGGTGTGTGGAAATCGTCATGTGGGTGACCATTGTAATTACCACACAGTCCACCTAGTGAGCCATAGTAGACACCAGGTGCAGTGACACGCACAAAGTGAGGCCAGACCGTCTGCACAGTTACACCAAAGGAGGTGCGAAGGATGATACTGTGAACGCTGCTGTGGTAGATTTGGATTCTGTTGGACGCTGAACTGTAAGGTAGTCTGATGACCTGACTGTCAACCTAAAGGGCCATTTAAACAGCCAGTGTCAGATTTTTTGGTTGACAATATTACGACATGAAAGAATGAAATAATTATGATTTTTTAATAAGACCCTTTCTCTAGTGTTGATACTAATTTTGTCACATTTATCTTCATCAGTGTAAAAATGCTTCACTTTTAAAATGGTGGATATATCACATTAAGAACCAATCTCTTTAAAAAATATTAAACTTACTTACCTGTACTCTGCTGGTACTTGCCATCTCAATGGACACTTGTGTGCCCTCTGCCTCAAACTTAAGCATATTGGCAAAATCCTGTTGGCCACTGGGCTCTTTCTCTGCTGTCACCACAAAGTGGATGTAATTAGACAATCCCATCACTTTGGCAAGAGTCAGTCGACACGCTCCAGGATACTGGTATGTCAGTCCATCAAACGTTTGATAGGACCCCGGGCCACTTTTCCAGCATGTTGCATAGCTGTTTGGTCTGCATCCTCTTTCTCCCTCCTCCACTCTGCATGATTCAAGTGGACCACAAGCATGGGAGCTGCAAGTCATGGAGCCAAAATTGCAGTTACAACGTCTCCCACAGTCTGTGTCTAGTATTACAGTTTCTCCAGAGCGGTAGTAGCGACCCTCAAAGCTGCAGCCACAGTCAGAAAGAGGGACGCAGACCCCAGCACTGAGGATGTAGCCTGAGTTGCAGATGCAGCTCTCCTGGACAGGGAGAGGGCAGTTGTGGGTAGAATTGGGACTGACACAGGTAGCTGGACATCCTGTGCCTTGGGACTCAAAGTGGCTGTTGGCTGGGCAGGGGATTTCTAGAGAAAATAAACACTGACCATGACATCATGTACATTTCACCCAAAGGATATTCAGAAATAATGTTGAAAGACTGACAGACATACCACAGAAGCCTTGTCTCCTCCAGCTTGGTAGCTTTATACCATTCTGTTGACACAGACTTGCGTACACGTTTAGGGATTGGCACAGAATGGGCTGGTACCCTCCTCCTACACACAGATCGTACACACAGTTGTCCAGAAAGGTCTGTGGGGGAAGTCTTTGATGGCAAGCAGCAAAAGGACCTGAACTGCTCTGGAGGATACCACAATGAGCAGTATTGCTGTATAAAGCTGTCTGAGCCGCAGTGCAGGCAGCACAGTCCAGACCTTCACACTGTGCCTCACAACCAGGCTCATCATCCCCTGCTGCTTGCCAGCTGTTGGCAAAAGCCACATCAGAGCGCACAACCTCGCCTTGGCGGGTTCGAAAGTCGTCCCTAGGATCATTGTTGAAGTTTCCACACAGGCCACATGTTGCATTCTGGTAAGTGTAAGGCACACTGATCCGGACAAAATGATCTGTGTCATATGACACCTCCAAGCCAAAGTCAGTACTGATGATAGTAGAAAAACCTGACTGATAAACCTGGACGGTGCCGTTGTTGAGATAGATTGGAGTGGCTGCAAAGTTTTCATTAACCTGTAAGCACAAAAGTAAGCAAAGCCATAGCTGTAAAAATATGAAATAAATAAAAAATATTACTGTAAGTAGAGACTTAGTCCTTATTGCTAACCTTAACCTCACCACGACGTCCCTTGACAAGCTCAATGGTTTTATTATAGACATACACTTTGACCAGTCGCATCCAAGAGACTCTAGTGCTGCCCCGGTGTTCATTCTTGCCCTCTATTCTATAGTAGGGCAACCCTCGACCACATTGCTCAGAGAGAACGTAAGTGCAGGCGCCCTGAAAGTGAAACACTTTACCATCGAAGGTATAGTAATGTGGATCACCACTTATGGTGCAGGTGCTTCTCTGCACTGTCTGGCAGGAGAACTGAAAGGCACTTGGCCGGCAGATTTGAGAAAAGGAGCAGGGTTGGCTCTGACACTGAAGTCCTTCTGAGGTGCAGGTGCACTTTAGTGCACATGTACTGTCGCTCCAGAATGAGTCACCCAACTGCACAGGTTCACCTTGAAATAAAGGAAAGGAAATTTCAACCCAACTCACAAACAATGCCATATAAACCATTCTAGAGGGAAAAAACGGAAGCAAGCAACTGTACATTTTATGCAATATTGGACAATAAACTGCTTATTTAATCTTTTACAACTAATATAATCTTATTCTGTTCTATTTAGTCTTGTGTGTATAAGTTTCAGGAGTGGTTAACATCAATGCACATCACTGTAAAGTAGGGTGCATAAATTACAAAGTGCCACTTGCTGTCACCCTCTGGATATGGTCTTACCATTAAAAGTGCAGCCTGTTGGCCCATGGTCTGTCCGGAAGGCCCAGCGACCGGGCACATTGACATTGCTGCTCAGGCGGAAATTTGAGTTACTGCCTGTTGCAGTGCTGGAGAAGGATCCAGGTATGATGAAATAGTGAGTGGAGTTGACTGTGTCATAGCCAGCCTTGAATATACAGCACACAACATATAGATTTAACATTTGTATGATAGATTTGTTTTTAACTATTAATATTAGTAAATTGAAAAATATGTATCATAAGTGAATTCGTTGTATTCAATTTTATTAACAAAAACTGAAAAACATTCATTCGTAATCAATCACATATCTTTGGTGGTTCTGACCTGAACACTGCGAGTCGTGGGGGCTATTATCCCATAGTTCATCAGCACAAATGAGTACTGGCCACCAGAGATCAAGACTGCTTGGAAAGTTGTTTGCTGAAAATTCAATGGTTTAAAGTACTTCATAACATGAGATGTGTGTAATTTTATTCTGTGTTTCAACATTAAGAACAAGTTAACTTACTGTTCCTGAATTTGGAAAGTAGGCGACCTCATACCATGTGGCAACAAAGACCCAGGCGGCATTAAAGTACAGTCTTGGGAAGTAATCATTAATGTCTCGTGTAGCTTGTTGGAGGACGCTGCCGCTGGTGTATTGGTTGTAGTAGACTTGACCAGTTTCTCTGTTGTCCAAATCTGTCCAGAATGGAGCTATGATGTCTATGGATCCATGTATTGGAAATATTTGAGGTATGAACCTTCCCCATGCCCTGTCAAATGTCACATGTCCATTCTGGTTGACCTGAAAACAATATTGTTAGTAACTTAATAGTGACTATGTCTTCACTTAATCTGTGAATTAAAATTCTACATCATGGCTCTGTTCTGCAATTTCAATTCTCAGTCAACAAACATTTTACTTGTATTTAGACAACAATATATTTACATACATAAATCGTTTTATACGTCCTCCCAAAATATACAAAAGATCGTTGCAAGGTTATTAAAGGAGAACTTCCATCATCTGACCGAGAACTTGTATTTCCAGATATTGGGTAGAGGGGTCCTAGGAACAACAAAATTGTACATTCATTTAAAAAGAGCACTGAAGTTTGCAAATATTCCAGTGTTTAATAGGCTTTTCATGCAAAAACAAGGCAAAAACAATGCTCTTTGTCCCAGGCTCAAAGTTTTCTCTGTTGTTTTGCTGTTTGGTACTTGCTTCATTTTAATTCCTGACCTGTTAATTTTTTCAGTGTGCAGAGCATATCTTGGATTTTTTAAAATTCTTAATATACACAATATTCTTTCATAGAGCAAAACCAGAAAAACTGCACTTTGAAACATGTAAACTCTACTGACAGTTTTGCATAAGTTTAAAATTATCCACTGAGACACAAACGTATCCTATAGAACAGATTTTGAATTTTTACAATGACTTAATATCCAGTTATTATACATCCTTATACAGCGAACCTAATGGTGATTTAAAGCTATATCAGAAATCACCATCTTCAACCAGCATGTCCAAAAAGATACAAATAAATAGTGTAATTAAGCACTAATCAATCAATTTATACTCTAGTCACAGTCACACCAATAATCATACAGCATTAGTATTCATCATAATAATATTGGCATGATTGTATGAATGGCATGCTACTGTGAATGAAAGAAAAATCCACATTCACAAACATCAACTTACCTGAACTCTGGGAATTCACCATGCCTGTAAATATAACAAAACATAAGCAAAGATGTAAATAAATGGATACATCAAGATGCATCTCAGAAAATATACCAACAGTAAGGAATTTCAGTAAAGCTTAATCAATTAGATAACTAAAATTACATTTGATTGGAACTACTTACTTATCATCCACAAAAGAAGCATAGACAACATGATGTTGCCTGCCATTCTCCCAGGCTATTCAGATCTGCTTACCAACCAGAGTGGACATAATTTTATTATGGATTTAATTTTATTATCAGTTATAATAAAATAGTAAATTGTGTTTTTTAGAAATATGCATTTGTTAAATATAGGTCCACAGAATTTAATATTTACCTGGTGATGCTGTTCTTGTCCGTAATCCATTTGAGACTGCAGAGCTAGAGCAAAGCTTTATACAGTAAAAGCTGGCACAATCCCAAAAGCCTGTTGGTTTTTTTTATCAGTTTCAAATAGGTCAGTATAACATGTATTTGGCTTCCTCATACACTAACCATGTCACATTGTCTAGAGAATAATGAAAATGATCAAATATCAAAAACTGAGATCTAATACTCTACAAAAGGCTTTAGTAAATACATTGTTGCAGTGCTCTTAAGTGTCAAGATACTTAGCCTCAAGATACCAACAGATAAGATAACGCTATTGTGATAAGCCACAAGCTAACTTATGCTGCCAAAGCAATGGCCTAATTCTCTTTGGTGCGACCTGTGCAGTCATTTTATGTTAAAAATTGACAAAATATTAATGATGAAAAATGTGCATGTTTGTTGGTCAAGACCACAATCAGCAGAACAGGCAACCATTGTTGTATGTGGTGGACAACATTTCACACTGTATATTCATTGTATGTGTCTGCATGCTAAACGTTGTGAGTATTGATACATGTTTAAACATAAACAGACAATATCAACAGCTTAAATCCATAATTCGGGAGAGATTTAAGTTTAACAAATTGGACTTAGATCTACCTCCATTGATAACAAACTTCCTTAAACTGTCCCCCAAACTATTATCTAAAAATACAAGTGTTACTGTCTAAAACAGATAGTTCAATCTCTCTCCCAGTCCTAAAGTGGGAGACAGATCAATCCATTAGTAAACCTTCTGGACGCAAATATGTTTACTTTTAGAATGACTAAAAATCCCAATCTACAACTCATACAGTATAAAACTTTCAACTAAATACACTATACAGGACAAAGGATATTTAGGATGGGTCTAATGCAGTAAACATTTGCCTGAACTGTTCAGGTAACATCTCTGATAGTTACATGCATGCTATCTGGCTATGTGGCTGTCTGTTCTGGCAGAAAATATGTGAAGACCTATCAACTTGAGGTACCTTGTCCCAGTTTCCCCCTCACTCTGCATGCTGGAGGACCTTCGTAGAGAGGTTGACATGCTTCTCACTGCCCTATGCATTGCCAAAAAACTATCCTCATGAACTGGAAGGCTAAAAAGAATTTAAGTATCACCCAATATAAGAATCTCCTGTTAGACAGCATTTAGCCTGGAGAGAATTTCTGCTTCCTCAATAAAAAAACCATTTGCAGAATTCTAGTCTCTCTGGTCCACCTTGATCAATTCCATCACTTATTGGGGGTGGGTGGTCGCGGCATTGCTGTTCTGGGCTAGAGGACTGCGGGTCGGGACTGTGCTGAGCTGCCTTTGGGTTTGTGTGGGGTCCTGGGGTTTGGAGCTCTGGATCTCTGAGAGCTGGGCTCCCCCGGGGCTTTTAATCACATATTAGATTGAGGGCTTGGCGGGTGGGAGGGGCACTTTGGGAGGCTCCACTGCTTGCCAGATGAGGGGTGCTCATTGTTGCGACTAAATGCACCTTAGCCTGGGTCCCGTTGTCTCCTCACCTCGCAGGGGCCGTCTTCAGCGGGGATGGGCCCCCCACTGCTGACTCCCACTGGCTCTGCCATAACAAGGGCTGCGGAAGTTCCAGGGGGCACATGGCCGGTGTTGTCGCAGTGGGTCTTGGCCCGCTCTCTTGGGGGTGGCTGTCTGGGGGGTCGGGGCTCTCATTGGAGGTTGTGGCGGGCCTAATGCTGGCTCTGCCCTCACCCACACTTTGGGGTGGCCTCTGGCTGGGATGGAGGCTGATGCTCCTGGTTCTCCCGTGGTCTTGCTCCCTGGCTGTGGGGACTCTCTGCTATTCCCTCTTTGGGCGGGGAGGGGCTGTCCCCATGGCATGTGGTCTCGGGTCATCTGTGGGGTCCTGGCTGCTTGGGTTCTTTCCTGACTGCCACTGGGGTCGGTGCTGCGCTGTTGTGGTATCCCACTCTCACTAACAGGCCAGTCAGAAAGGGGCAAAAACGGGAATTACGGCTGGGTAGCCAGAGGGCAAACAAGGGGGGCAAGGCAACACTTAGGAAGCCGGACAGGAGGCTGACGAAGGCAAGACCTCTCCGGAGGTCGTCGACAAGGGCAAAGACCCTCAGATGGCTGGACAGGAGGCCGGCGATGGAGGTGAAGACCCTAAGGAATTGACCCTAAGGAAGCCAACGAAGGTGAGACCTCTTAGGAGGCAGAGCAGGACTGACAGCCAGCAGCAAAGCAGCAGAACAGGGAACCAGTGCCAGTATTCAGCTGGGCTGAAAACCGGTGACACCACAGGGGTTTTAGAGAGTTGATGCAGCAAAGGCGTCAAAATCAACTGAAGCTCTGCAGGAGCAGGGAGCTGAGACAGCAGGGTCCGGAATTAGCTGGATAGCTGATTGGACCCTAGGGGCAGGCAGCTGCTGCAGCAAAACAGCATCTGGAGGCTGGAAAAGTAGCTGAGACAGTACAACAAAGTCCAGGGACTGTAGTAGCTCGGCAAAGTCAACAGGTGGCAGCTCAGCAAAGTCAGAGGGTTGTCTCAGCTGAGAAGGGTCAGGTGAATCCAACGAAGGTTAAAATCAAGGGCAACTGGACTTGGTTGAAGATACTGGAAGATGTTTCGTCCCTCATCCAAAGGACTTCTTCAGTTCTGACTGACTGGCAGGGAAACTCAGCTATTTAACCTCAGTGGGGTCGTTATCCCGGGTCATCGATACCGCTGGTTCGTTAGTGTTCGTTAGTCGTTAAGACTACCTGTGGCCACAATCACAATGTTGTTGCGTTTGACCTTCTTTTCCTCCTTGTTCTTCTTGGATCTTGTGGCTGTCTTCACAAAGGTCCATTTAGGGTATCCACAGGCTGTAAGTGGTGGTTCAGGTGGTTCTGTTCCTTCTCTCTGGCTTGGGCGCAACATTGTGATTCCATACATGTCTGGAGTATCAGAGAAACTCAGGAGGATTTTCAACAAACATAACATCCCTGTGTTTTTTAAACCCAAGAACACACTAAGACACACAGATGCTGGTACACCCCAAAGACCGCACACCCAAACACAAGAAAAGCAATCTAGTGTATGCGGTCCAATGCAGTGAGGAATGCACAGACCTGTATATTGGGGAGACTAAACAACCACTACACAAACGCATGGCTCAACACAGAAGGGCCAACTCCTCAGGTCAAGACTCTGCAGTCTACTTACATCTGAAGGACAGAGGACACTCGTTTGAGGACCACCAGATGCACATTTTAGACAGAGAAGATGGATGGTTTGAAAGAGGAGTCAGGGAAGCCATCTACACCAGGGTTGAGAAGCCGACATTGAACAGGGGAGGGGGTCTACGCCACCACTTATCCCCCACTTACAATGCTGTCCTTTCATCACTTCCCAGGAAACTCAACAAACGTAACCTATTGGCCTCAGGTGAAGATACCAACGATGGTTGTTCAGTCTTGGCCACAGGTAGTCTTAACGACTGTAACGACTGTCATCACAGCAACAAGGAACACTAACGAACCAGCGGTATCGATGACCCGGGATAACGACCCCACTGAGGTTAAATAGCTGAGTTTCCCTGCCAGTCAGTCAGAACTGAAGAAGTCCTTTGGATGAGGGACGAAACGTCTTCCACTATCTTCAACCAAGTCCAGTTGCCCTTGATTTTAACCTTCGTTGGATAACTATGACCTGGATGACTGAGAATCTTCATAGACATCGGTCAGGTGAATGTTGCAGCTTTGCAGGAGCAGGAATTTGTTGCAATACTACTGGCTCACCTACAGCCAGAATAGGGGGCTATGGCAGCAAAACAGGGTTAGGAAGTAGCTGCCACTCAGTACGGTCAGGAGTCAGCTGGGCCACCAACTGGATACAGGAAACAGGAGTCGGCTGGTCAGCCAACAGCAAACATGGCCAGACTGGACCACATGACAACACAGTCTTAGGGGTGCAAGCCAGTATAGTCCCAGGAGCACTGGCTAGCTGAAGCCCTGGGGCACTCACCAGCTGTCTGTGGATCTCTGAGTAGCTCTGTCTCTGTAGCCCTAGGCAGCTTCGTTTCTGCAGTGTTGAGCATCTCCATCTCTATGACACCAGGCCGCTCAATCTCAGGGATGCCGGGCAGTGAGACCTACGCAGCATGAACAGTGGCAATGATGAGGTGCTGGGCAGTGAAGAGGACGAAGAGCTGGTCAGTGAAGAGGACGAAGAGCTGGTCAGCAGTTAGTACGAAGATCAAGGTGAGGAGCAAGTCAACAAAGACTCGGTGGAGTCAAGTGATGGAGACTCCAGGGTGACTGCCCATAGGGTCAGGAATCATGATGTCCACTTCTCCTCCTCTGGCCTCCATGGGTCCCAGAGAAGATGGCCATGTGAGTCACTTCAAAAGACTGCTAGTTGTCAGTGTGGCTTGTCAGACAAGGTTCTGGAGTCAGCTGGGCCGCCAACTGGATACCTGCAACAGGAGTTGGTTGGCCTGCCAACTGAGCACCAGAGGCTGGAGTCAGCTGGGCTGCCAACTGGACAGTGGTGGCTGGAGTTGGCCGGGCCACAGGCAGACGATCAGGTAAGACAGGGGAAACCTCCATGGTGCTGGGCAGCAGAGGGGCAATGCAGCAGCAAGTATCCCTCATGGGGATTTCACTCGACGTGAATCAGACGAAGACCTA